AGATAAATTTGATTTTTTTCATTTTTCTTGAGTGTATTCACATACATTTGAGAATAACTTCCAACAATATTAGAGAATTTTAAATCCTCTCCATGCCATTTTTTTAAATCATTATATAAATCAGAAGAAACTAACAAAGCGTTTAACAAATCGATATAACCATGAATTAATGAACATAAAGTAACTTCATTTTCTAACACCACTTTTTTCAAAAATTTTTTTCTCTCTCTTTCTTCTTCCTCGTAAGCTTTATTTATTCTTTCCAAAGTTTCAGGAGGTATAGATGCCATTGATATCTTTATATACAATATACAAACCAAAACTTCATACAACGATACTATTGATATGATTGAATAGTAAATTTCACAACAAATGTTTATAACAGCAACCAACCAAATAAATAAATACTTCGTTATCTACATTTTTCTTTAAAAACAAATCGTGTTCATTTTCTTCATATTTATTCAAGTCAAAACCAGCTCTTCGTTTTTTCTTCATTATACCATGGTGTATTTCTTAAATCATTGTACAATTGTTCATTCTTCAAAATATATCTAATAATTCGAATATAATCATGAATAGAAGAAACCAATTTCTCATTACAAACAAGCATATCTTTTAGAAAATCTTTCTTTTTTTTTTCAGGTATTTTTTCCCATTCAGAAAGATATGTTTGTGCTCTTTTTAAATTTTGTTCCATATTATATCAATAGAGTTAAGAGAACACACTTAAAATAAAATGGGTAAAAGTGAAATAGGTAAAATTTATGAATTTTTAACTGAATTTAACTGTAGTAAATGTATATATATATACTTTTTACCAAATAATTATAAATATATAAGTGAATTATCTTTTAATGAATTTATTATTACCCATATAAATCATATTGAATACGAAAAAAAATAAATAAAAAAATTCAAAAAGAATTTAAAAATGGAAAAAAAAAAACACTTTATATTATTACAAAACTATATAAAGTCTGTAGTGTAAATTTTTAAAAAAAAGATATATAGTTATTATATTATTGTATTAGTATTCATTACTAATAGACAGGTTATAAAATTAAGTAAAAATGTCTATTGTCATTGCCATTATAAATGAGATCTATTTTATAATTATTGCTTTTCTTGTAAAACGTGTCAAAATATAAAATTCATCATAATTTATACTCATTTCCAAGTCAATTACAACGTATTCATTTTCATGCTGACAATTGCTGCAGAGAAAACAAAGAAGGAAAAGAATATTTTGCAAAGAAACTAGAAATAATTGATGAAAATATAAAGGAACTAAATTCTAATAGAGAAATATGTAAAATAACTATACCCTATGATCACATCTTTAAACTCTACATCAAATTAGATGATAAATATAGTTTTAATTGTTCATTTTGTCAAACTCATAATATTAAATTATTGTGTTATGGACGTGCGCCATTAACAACTGAAGATTCTATCAAACATCACGCAGAGTTTTGTTGTGAAGGAAACGAAAATTAAAGAAAAAATTGAAAAAAAATTGAATTTATCGAAAAGAAAAAGAAAGAAGGAAAAAAATAAAAAGCATACAAGAAAGAGAAATAGAAATTAAAAACATGATAGTTTATTGTAACCTCATTAAATTGTAAACTTTATTCATTTTCATACTAACATTTAGTGGAGAATAGGTGATTTATTTTGGAAAAATGGATAAAAATAAAATTAGTATTGCAAATGAAAGATATAGAAAATTATTTTACAAATATTGTTTTTATTGTAAAGAATGTCAAAGATATCAAATGGAGGCTTTATATAGTGCTTCATTACCAAAAAATCCGACACATTGTGTTTTTCATCATTTGTATGTTTGCTGTAAAGAAAAAGAAGAAATAAAAAAAATTGAGGAAGAAATTAGTTTTATTGAAGAAGAAAGGAAAGAAAAAACTTAAATGTCGTATAAAACATACCATACAAGCAAAATCAATACAGAATACAGAAAATTGTTTTATAAATATTGTTATTATTGCAAAATATGTTTTCATCACGAAATTTATTTGAGTTTGAAAAATTTACCAACACCAACTGGAACAGAAAGTATTGATTATCATGCAAACGTTTGCTGTAAAGACAAAAAGAATTAAAAAGAAAAATTGAAGAAGAAATTCAATCGATAAAAGAAGAAGAAAGAAAAGAAAAATAAAGATATATTAAGAAAAACTTAAAGAAATAAAAAAAAATATTTTTCTTTTTTAGAAGAAAAAAACTTTTTAATACAAAATGGATAAAATATATTTAATTTAAAATGAAAAATGTTTTATAAATATTGTTTTATTGTGAAAATGTCAAAGATATCAAAAGCTTTATATAACGCATCATTAGAATTTTAATTCATCATTCATATAAATGCTGTAAAGAAAATAAAAGAAATTGAAAAGAAATTGAATTAATAGGAAAAAAAAAAATGTAAATATATATGGATGTAAATAAAAGTAATAATTTTCTTGAAAATAAAAGTGATAATTTTCTTGAAAATGAAAGATATAGAAAATTATTTTATAAATATTGTTTTTATTGTAAAAAATGTCAAAGATCTCAAAAGCTTTTAAATAGCGTATCATTACCAGTATACCCATCAGATTGTATTTTTTATCATACATATACTTGCTGTAAAGAAAAGAAAGAATTACAAAAAAAAATTGAAAAAGAAGTTAATTTCATTCATAAAGAAAGAAATTATACAAAGGTAAGATATGAAATTAAAAAACTCAAATGAGAATATATTCATTTTTTAATCCAACTTTTGTTGTGTTACAGAAAGAAAATACAAAAAAAGGGAAAAATGAATGAAGCTAAGGATATAAAAACAAGACTACAAGAAATATCTTTATTTATAAAAACAACAAACATGTTAGTGCAAAAAGAAATTAAAGAAATAACAGATATGATTACAAAAAATGAGGAAGAAAATGTTTTATTACATTTGAAAGTACTTGATAAAATTAATGTGGTAGAAAAAAATAACAATGTTGATAAAATTAATGTGTTAGAAAAAAATAACAATGTTGATGAAAATAATAAAACTGAAAAATCAACATTTGTTACACCTACTGGATTATTTGGATAATCTACTGCTAAAAAATCATTTGATTTACTTAGTAAGGACGAAAATCCATTAGCATTTGATGCATCTTTTCAATCAAGATTTGGTGGTGTACCCATGGGGTCGTTTATTAAAAAAGAGGAAAAACCCCTGTCATTTGGTGAATCTAGGGGTTTATTTTAAAAAAACTTCTTTAATATAACATTTTAAATTGTAAAAACATGTAATAAATTGTTTTTTCTTGATTAAAATTGTTTTGCAATTTTTACATTTTTTTTCATTTTTTTACATTTTTAAATTTATTTTTTTCAATTTTTTTCAATTTTTTACAATAATTTTCATTTTTTTACAATTTTCTCTATATTTATACTTTTTTATATATCTACTTGTATCATAAATATTCAGTCACTCGAAGAGAGAAGATGTCTTTCAAAAGTAGAATTAATTCAATTATTCAAGAGCTGAAATTTTTTTGGAAATATGATGGTCAAAACATCTTTTTAATAAGTCTTCTCCATATTGGATTTCTTTTCTGTCTTCATAAAGCAACAACGTCTTTGGTTCAACCTGTTAATATTGGTGTTTGTGATTAATTTTATGTCAAGTTTTTTGGTAAGCATATTTTAAATTTTTAATACTTATTAACAATATGACACTTACTTGTTTATCATCATTTTTTTAGAAAAAATTTAATTTGGGATGAAGAATTTGGTGAAAAGGTTGATTCCTTTTATCGTTTCTTTAATGTGGATGAAGCATTGAAGCGTGACAATTCGTATCATCAATAAATTTGGACTTTGGACTTTCCATATTAATCATTTTTAAAAAATTGGACTTTGGACTTTCATCAATGTAATTATTTTATATTGTATTTGAAATATATATCTTTTTTTATAAAATCTTCTTGTTTATATATTTTATATTACTCTTATCCACTATTCTAATATATATATGTATATTATCACAGGCTCACCCTTCTCTATTTTTATGTTTACTACCGCTGACTGCCTCAAAAACGATCCCCCCGGTTTTTTTTATTATAAGATGTATTATGACTATTTTTAGACATAATACATTTTATAATAAAAAAACTTGAGCCTGCGATGATATATATATATATATTAGTTAACTACTGAGGGACCTCAGGATCTTTTCACTTTAAATGCGAAAACATTGAGATTGAAAAATCAAAGATGAAAGCACCTGTCGAGGTGAAAAGAGTTCGGAGAATTAAAGAACCTAATGTTTTTAAGGTTACCTTCTGAAAAGCTTGTGTTTTTGACCAGAATTATTGGCTTTTTATTGGCTATCAATAATCAAATAATATGTTTTAAAAGGATGTTTTCAACAATATTCTATTTAAGTTCATTTGTGTACGTGTAACGTATACATGTAACAGACACGTTGATCATGATGGTTTTCACAATTTACTTTTAGCATCATAGCCAGTTTTCACTTTCTATACATATTGATCAAATTTCTATGTTTACAAAGTTTAAAATTTTTACATGATTTTGATCCACAACATTTGTATTGTTTTTGAATTAAAAGATTTTAGTTGGCTACATATAACGATACCTTTTAAAATTAATTTATTGGGTTACAAATTATTGTTTGTGTTTAGCGTTAATTTATTGGGTTATAAATTATTGTTTGTGTTTAGCGTTGAAAACCATGGAAATGTTTGGGCAAATGTTTGCTAACACGGTTAATACATCAGAGCAAGATAAAAGGAATACTTGCTGAGTTATTTCACTCTTCATTACATCTCACATTTTTGACCGTTAACAAAAGTATGTGAATAAGGAAGATATAAACGAATCTCAATGGTTACATTGCATTCTTGTTTCTACTTAATATTTCAAAAGGCAATAAAGATTACGTTTGTGTAAATATTTGCATATAAAATTCCATTACTTACTAGGTCCTGATGTAGAAGACGTTATACCAATATCAGCATCACTGTCATTATCATTTAGTAGATATAGCAACGATTCCTTTTCTTCAGAAGCTGAAGCAATGTAAATATGAAACATTTAAGTATGATAATATTACTAAAAAGTATTGCAACAAATGTAAGCTTTTATTTGTTAAACTCCACACAAAAAGAAAGTTTCCTTCTAGCTATTTAACTTTTTAGATTTTTTGGGAGCTGTAAATGGCTGTTTGTTTCCGACAAAGTGTCATATATTTTGTAAACAAACTTGATCATACTGATTTCGTTGTGACTGTAAGATGGTCTTACTATGAAGAATCTGAGCGTATTTTTACCGAATCAAAAAAAGATGTTCAAAAAATTATGTTAACTATAGGTATTTGGCTATGCCCTCGAATGGTACGCAGTACTTTTACTTTTTACTAAAGTCTGTTTTCCCTCTAATACTTTCTACATTTAATGCACATTATTAAGAGTTCTATTCAAGCCTAAAATCAAAGTAATTTAGTCACCAATAATAACAAATGATAATCGGATCGGTAATGCAAATTTTAGATGTTTTAATTGATGATCAGAAAAGAAATATCCAAAGGATTTGAGACGTTTGCAAATGATATTAGACATAATGCAATCTTGGTGATATTTTCGTCGTCCTCTTTCCTAAAGATAATCTGGACGAGCGACGCAGGTATTCTAGTTTAAAAATGATAGTCCTCGTTTTCTTTTGAAAGCTTGTCTCAAAGATTTCTTTAAATCTTTTTTGAAAAATCTGCTAGTTCTCATGTAGATAACATGTGAAAACTACATTTTTAATTCACATTTTTTGTAACTTTTTCATCAATGAAAAAAACAAAATGTATCAGACAAAATAAAAAATAATGGTCCCATAATTTAAACTCTTATGTTTCTTCAACTTTAATTAGCAACATGTAGTTAATGGAATTCACACAAAACATTAATATACAACATGCAAATGACACACAAAAGTACATGAGTAAAACAAAATACAATTGACTACTCTACTGACCTTGAACTTTGTTTATAGTAAAAACATCAATACATTTTTCATAAAAATAAATGTATAAAATAAAATGGTAGCATCATGTAACCTTTTACTTTATTCTTTTAATGCAAAAGTTGAATTTTCTCAGTTTTTTGAGTAGCTAAAATATACAGTTCGAAAAATTTGTATCAATATAAACCAACATCCCTCAACTATACTCAGCATCGCTTCGGAAGATAACATTGACCTCGGTCTGAATAATTCTTGATATTGCTCAGCCTCATCCAATAATTTATTACGCGCGGAAAATTCCACCTTGTTGAAAATAGCCTTTAAGTACATTCATCACAAAAAAATTACAATTGTCGAATAAAATAAAAGTGCCCTATTGAAAGAAAATGATTTAATCACTTGTTTACAAGGCCAAACAAGAACAGATTGTAACGAATCAACACTGTACATTGGTATGAAGGCCGGATGTTTCGAGCGTTACACAAACCATACTCCTCATCGTCCCAGCAATCGTATAGAAACGGAACTGAGCTATTTAAATACGCATGGCTTAAGGAACGAGACAAACCATTTAATATCTCATGGTGTCTTTAGTAAAATGCGTATACCGTCAAGATTAGCATGACGTAAATTGTATTGTGTATGTTTAGAAGGAACAACTAACATCATGAAGTCAAACCGAAAGTACGAAACATCCGAGATGTTAGCTAAATGTCTTGATAGGAAGTGCTTTTTGCGCATTTATGAATATTAATATTTGTATCCTTTTTGTTTTGCAACGTTTTGATGCTTCATGCATCACTTTCAAGCAACGTATAAGTACATAACCATATTAAAAACAAATAACGTAAAACGGTGTTTGAAGGTCACGATTGCAATAATTGTGTTAAAGTGATGAAAATTAATTAAAACAATAAATAAATTAGACCTAGTTACAGAAACAAAAAACATTTTGCAGACATCCAACATAAACGTACATATCTACACTCAAATCTACTTCAATGAAAATCAATGACTATTGTTTAAACGATTCTTAATGACAATGAATTTAAACATACGATGGAAGTCAGGCTTTACAGGTCATGAATACAATGACATTTGCTTTGTGCGATGTACATTTAAAGATTCGACAGATTCAACATAGATACGTCAGTTGCAGTCTAAGAGAACTGTCGGCAATGTATAGTACTATCAAAATGTTATTTACAAAATAGTATCCACTGACGAGCAATGGATTACATGCGCAACAGGAAACCGACTACACATGCAGTATTTCTACACATGTATGCAACGCTTTTTTTTTAATTGAAGATTGGTGTACTTCATTAAATACATCATAACGGAAAACAAAAAGATAAATGAGATATCGTAGTTGACGTGAATCATTAAAAATCAGCATCATGTAAACATATATTGAAAAGACTTATCTACCTATTTTTGGAAGTTCACCCAAACTTCTTTCATCGTTTACTACAAAAAATAACATGAGACATACGTACGTCTGTTTTTTGTATTAAGTATATTGTTTAAATGTAATTCAAAGTTATACATATTCATACATATATAACTTTGAATTACATATTCAAACAATACTTGATATGATTTACTACCCAGTGTTTCACGCCTATATTGACGATTTTCAGTTAAATTAAAATAATAAAACTATGGCTCTGTTAATCAGTGAACTTATGTACTAATCATCATGTAGATGATTTCACTGAATATTCAAATTTAAATTGAATCAGTGGTTTAACTTAACCTTATAGTAAGAATGTAACAACCAACGTTGCAAACAATTTCTTTGCATGATAGAAAAGTATTTAACCACCCTCTTTAAATCTTTACAAAATCTTAACAGCACAAACCGCCCAATATTAAAAGCACAATCGTCAACCACAACCGTTCTATCACAAATAAATCTAAAGCCTTTTTTTAACCAGGCGGAATTTTCCGCGCGCGACGCTAAATTTGCAACATGATTGGTTGTCATACAATAATGACAAAATCATCTACCAATCATGCGCGTTATTAAGCCCTTAATAACCGAGCTTGAGGTCTTTACGGAGAAATATCGGACCGATGTCTTTTTGTAAAGACCGAGCCCGTAGGGCGAGAGAACATCAACACTACCTTGGTTCAATTAATTTATCAACTGAACTTTTAATTCTCCCCGTATCTCCTTCACGAGCCTCAGAGCTTTACTAAGATGGAGACTAAATTAGGATATCTTAAGATAAACCAAGTTGAAATATTTATTTAACATTTACACCTTAACGTAGCCAGCCTGCACATTTCCTATGGTTATGTAAATTCTCATGGATAACCATTATTCATCTTTTTATAAATCTATTCTTCTCACAGCTAGTAAACACAAAAACATTTGGATACAAGTGGGAGTAAAAAGTCGAGCTGGCTACGTTACTGCATTTACACCTTACACAATAATACATTGACCTAAATATAAGCAATCATGTAAAGCAAACTCTAAAGTTTATCAGGACATGAAAGTAGTCAGGCCTCAAGAACTTGGAGTCATTATTCGAAAATTTTGCAGGTCCGTGCTATGTAAATTTTAATGTGTTTACTTACTGTGAAAAAACAGATGGGAAAAGAACAATAACGATCTGAGATTTACATAGCATAAACAAAACTTGTGGTCTGGTTGTATGTACAAAACTATACTTTGATGCAACTGCTCAATCTGACAAGATCGTGCTTTGCTTTGAAAAATTAGACAACCACTCATTCCAACTTCACTTACCAGTTCTTTTCTCGTTTTCATTTAACTGCATGATTCCATCAACGGTGTCTTGCGGAACTTGATCAGGCAGCTTAACATCCAAATCCCTTTCTATCTCATGAGCTAAACCTCCTTGCTTACACTCTTTCAATGCTAGGAGCAGTGCTCTTACATTGGCATGTTGTCCATCTCTATCAAACCAAGTGTCCAACACATATCGTGTGGGGTTACCAGAGAATTTTTCAGCAATGATGTTTTCTTTACCTTGTGGCAAATTCACTGCTTTGTACAGGCTTGAAAAAAAGTCAATTTGTGCTCAGTTAAGGAATAAAACTTTACTAAAAACATTTAGTTACCTAAAGATAAAACATCAACTGAGTTTAAAAAAACTTTAATTCATTTGAAAATCACCTTCTCCAGTCATTCTCTAATAACTCATTGCCTTTGTTTAAGCATTCTTCTAACTTTCTTTGAACATGGTCAGGTAGATCTGAGCAGGTTGTTTCAAGATTAAACTGGGCTGTTGTCTGCCCAGTCAGATGAGCACTTGTTGACTCCTGATAGAATTGTCTCTCATCAATTAGTTCGCCAGAATGAGTAGCTGACAAATCAGTGAGGTAAATTTGACTTACAGGATATGTAAAGGGATAAATATTTATATGTAATAACAAGGAGGAATAATTATTACATTTTTTACATACCTTTTATTGACTGCCTCAAATCATGGGCAAGTTGCGGCTGATTTATATCTAAGGTTTTGAAAAAACATTGGAATGCATCAGGCCCTAAACGCGGAAGCACATCACATATAAGCTTTTCCACTTTTTTGTCCAAAGATAGTTCTTGCAACACAGCTCTGATGTTGACACCAGGATTTCTGCTTGTGATCGCCACATTGTTGGATAAACTTTCAACCATTTGAGCGACATTAAGTGATTGCTTAAATATGGACAAATGGCTCACAAGAATTTGACGATGGACCTCTTTCATTCTAGGCTCTTCAGTTTCTCCTAAGTAAGACAGTGGTAAAATAAAAGGTTTAAAACTTTCTGATGTTTCTGTTTATATATAAGAAGATGGTTTTTCATTAAAACTTCTGCAAGTGAAGTCGATATTTGCATTCTTATCTTCTAGAGAATTTTACATCTTCAGAATGAATAAATAATAGACAGGCAAACAAGCTCACAGTACGTAATATATAACATTATAAGAAATAAAAAATGTCGTACTTTGCGTGGCATTTGGAAGTATATGGTTCACATTAAGTCCGGCTAAATCAGCCAAGTGTTCCCCAACCCATCTTTGAACTTTAAGTGTCGCTCTAATAAAGGATATGAATGCTTCATCTCCTCGCCGATGCAGCAAATTAAGAAGTTCCAAAGTACGAGCTTCAGGGGTGGATTCAGCTCGAATTTTGTCTTCGCAGTTACGATCCAGAACGTCCGTCATTTGTGGCCAAACAGCATCAACCTCAAGATTTCTTTTGATATATTCCCTGTTTTTTCTTAAAAATTCGCGATGCGCTTCAGACATCGCCATTATCACCGAATATCGGAAATACAGCCTGCAAAAAGTTCCATAAGAGTCCTCACGATCGGGCCACCCGTAATAGAGACCTATTTCAAATTCCGAGGTTCAGAACATCAACGGGCCAACGCACATTTTCATATAGGGCAGTCAAATTGTGGAACAATTTAGACAAAGATGTGAAAAATTCCAAGTCTCTTGATTCTTTTAAGAAAGCTTTAAAAGATCTTTTGTAGTTCCATCTTGTAATGTTACTTTTATCTTTAAAATCGTTTTAATAATAGTCTTTTTTACAAACATTTATAAGTGAAATATGTATATGTTTTCAATTTTGTAAATAGCTACTGAAAAGCCCTATAGGGAGTACCTATTGTTAGTCATTAAAGTTCATTAAAGTTCATACAGGCACTTCAATTTCGTTGTAAACTATTCTAGAGCTTTTCTACACCTAAACATTCCGTGGTAAAGTTACAATTCCCACTTCCCATTCATCGCAATGACAGTGGTAATGACGTGTGAAGGTTTTTCCCCCGCTGGGCCGCTTCCCCAAACTCGTCCAGCGTCTTAACCAGGGTCCTACTCGCCCCTGTTTTTCAGCAAATTTTCATCTTTCTGAAGCAGCTCGATTAAGAAGAAATAACATTATTTGTCTTCTTTTTGACATCAAAATGAACAAGCTTTTGATAGTTTGGTCAGTAAAGAAGTAAATGTGTATATTGCATTGCTGAATTATAGAGAAAATTCTTAGCCAACACTGTATTTTTATAATTTTTTGTTCTTGTACATTTGTACTTTAGGAATACAAATTGACTGTGATGACATAATGACTCTTTATCAGTAATATTTTTAAGACTAAAGTTAGTGTACATTATGTTAAATTGGATAGTATTGCTTGGTATTGCCCTGGTATTGCCGATTTGCAATCGATTCTGACCAATGATTCTGACAGATGGGATACAATGAACTGGTCATTGTTTGGTGGGTTTTCGAAATAGCCTTTGCTATCTCAGGTGGGATGACTTGACTGTTTGTCAAGCAAAGTCACACTCTGTTATTTTTTAAGAAACATTTTCTTATAATGGTGAAAAAGCCATGGAGAAAAATCTTGTACGAAGAACAAAATTACCCAGATAATTATGTTGACGAGTCTTTCCTGTATGAACTGAAAAAAATGGTAAATATTTGAGTGAAATCTAGGAATGGTAAAAGATCGATAATTATGCCTACGATTTGAGTTGGATGCGTATAACGAAGTATATTTTTTAGTATACACGAGAAACTATCATTTCTGGATTGTCTCCAATGAAGCTGCAAGAGTTTCACAACAATTTAGCAGGTTAAAATCAGGCTATCTTTGACTATCATCCTGTTCGTCAATTCAATTTTTGGGAACTGGTTGTTTGTTTACGACAGTGTCATATATTTTGTAAAATTGATCATACTGACTTCGTCGTGACTGCTGTGTAAGATGGTCTTACTAGAAAAAATCTGAGCGTATTTTTACCATATCGAAAGAGGATTTTCAAAAAATTATGTTAACTATAGGTATTTGGTTATGCCTTCGAATGGTACGCAGTAATTTTACTTTTTACTATAGTATGTTTTCCCTTTAATACTTTCTACATTTAATGCACATTATTTAGTTTTACTCAAGCCTAAAATCAAAATTTGACAACATAATAAGCTATAAGTTTCTTTTTACCATACGATAAAAATATGCCAAAGTCTATTAATTCTTAACAATTAATTCTTAAAGACGGTTTTTTAAAGAGCATATATTAATCCTCTGTTATTCTAGAATATTCTTCGAATATTCATCGAATACCACGGGGGGCGACTCCAATTTTTCACTTCGTGAAAAATTTCCCACCATCGTCGCCTGGATTCTCGGCGCTCCATCCCCTGCTCGAGCATGGAGTAAATATTACTTCGTAATATTCACATCATGCTCTGTGCTGCCGAGCGCCTCCGAACCGATGCTTGTTAACACTTGATTTCAAAAACATATAGATTCCATATTTTTAAACGATAGATTATAACCTCGAGATTTTTACCCCCTTTGAAAACAATTGTTTGTTAAAGATAGTTTTTACCCACTGTTTAAAAGTAGTATAGTACATGGGGGATATGAGAGCACTTTCTGTGCTCTCGTACCCCCATGTACTATACTACTGGTAATAATGAATAAACTTTGGTAGTGAATTAAACCTAGGTGAGAATATCTCAAAATATATCCCATAAATCGTCAACACAAAACAATTGTTTTCAGCATGCAAGTACAATAAAAATAATATCTTCTTTATTACACCGTTCCATTATTTTATTTATAAATAATTGTTATCAACATATATAAGGATATTGCATGACCATACGAAACAAAGAATATGAGAAGTCTTCAAAGAGATAAACAACTAAAAGACTTTATGCCAAATGAAGATTGTTTCTATACCGATGAGATGTCTGAAATTGAATGGATCTAAAAGCATTCTCAAAACGTTCTGTAAGATGACCTAAGACATGTAGTAGAAAATATAAAGATAAAAAGCTCCAACGCTGTTTTACAAACAGCAAAGATTTTCACAAAACAATGATCTGCTTAACAACCACTTTTTTTAAGAATACATGTATTTGCAAAAAGTTCAATTGTTTCAGATATACTCCATATTTCAAGCATAACATAGTTATGGAATTTTCATTCTTACAATGGAGATAATTTAATTCGGTAAAAGAATAATTATATAAATATTTCTCTGATGTTATAGGGCGAGCCATTCGTGAAACTATTACGAACTCTGCCAAGGTAAGCAGCACATTTGAATAGGTATTTTTCCATTATCACCATTATGGAAATTGTAGGAAATCAACAAGCAATACCTGATACTTTATACACAGAGTTGCCAAGTTTAATATAATTGCCATAGACCATACATTTATTTCTTCCTTATTTAAATGTACTGCTTACCTCGGCAGAGTTCGTAATAGTTTGATTAGTTTCACGAATGGCTCGCCCTATAACATCAGTCAATGATGTCGCAAGCCTTTCGGAGGAATCGGCGGAATTCATTGAAAACCGAAATCCTTCCTTTGTATGCAACAATCGTCAATAAGAGAGTTCATCAAACACAAAGCACGTATAGAAATTCGGTTGGAAAAAACCGCTACCTCTCGGAAGACATAAAAATCCGAAGGGCGGAGTGGACTTATCATGTTTTGACTTTTTTTGCTTCGCCAAGTGTATCAAAATTATTTTGGTTATTTGATATAACCATTTTGCGAAAAGTGGTTGTTGATGTAACCAAATTTTATCAAAGGAAGTAAAACTGGTTATTTGATATAATAAACTTAAAGCACGTTGTCACAAAAATGATTATTTGAAATAAGCAAACTACTAAACTACTAAAAGCAATTATCATATATAATTAAATAAATCATGAAAAATAATGCGATAATGTACTTAAATTAATAAAAGCACATTTGGCGCGCCATAGATGTGTAGGATGTTTAATTAGAGAGCAGACAACCATGAACTGTAAGATATCAACAATTCACAACGTGTACAAAAAAATTAGAACATTTTTAAATGACAAGAAAATTATCTTTATATCAAAATTTCTCAAAATGTGTCCACGTCTAAGTATTTTCGCATCGCCTGGTTTATCTAAAGGCAAAAAATTAATCTTGAAAAGCGGGAGAGCAGTTTGCAACTGCTTGCGCAAAGAAAATGAGAAATTAAAAATCTAATTCAACTCGAAAAGTTGAAAGTTTAAATTCTGTTGTGTATTGCACGCAACGTGTATAAAATGAGCGTTCTGGCAAGTTTACCGTCTTATTATTTTTATAGATAAGCCAGACAATGCCAAAATACTTCAAAATGAACACGTTTTTGAGAACTTTTGATAAAATACTGTATACATCCTTATTCGCGGTAACCTTCCCCTAACTTGAACAGTCATAAACAAGCACATGATGAGGCAGCTAATACCTATATGACTCGACATCAGAATGCAGTTACTAGACCCAATTCAAAGAGAAGAGACGAAGGCTGTATTGGTATTGGTATATTATGTAGCTCAATCTTGTCCTTTAGGTTGACTAATGGCTGAAATGGCTCACTTTAATCTACCATAAAATCTTTGAGGGAGACCAGGTTTTACTGTAAGAACTGCAGCGATCGATGCTTTTTTTAAAAAAAGTATGCAGTGTTGCACGCGGATAGCAGTATTTGATATGAACTGGAGCTCAGGTTTGATAAATAAAGTTTGATCTTAGGCAAATATTAAACTTGTGATAGGTGCATATAGGGGTTTTATGTTATGTACCCATCACACAGACTACAGAAAGTTCAAGAACGAAGTAGAAATTGACTTAAGAAGGAAAACAATATCAATACTGTCAGATTTAGTAAAGACCGCAAACGAGCAAAATTTATGATAAGATCAAATGCGAATTATGGATATCACGTAAATTAGCACGATAAGCGACATTATGAAAACGTACGTCCTTGTATGTGTAGTAAAGCTCATAAACTTCTTTGTACCCATTTAATGCATACAACAAAGGTCCATTTTTAATTCTTCAAAGAGTGAAAACATCTTAGTCTGACATTGAACTAGAATTCGTAGCTTCCAAATAGTACGACCAATCGTTTAGGCTATTAGTTAAATTCGTTCGTTTTGTGCAATGTATTGATTTTGAACAATACTTGCACTTTGTGTATTGTAATGAAGTACAACTAAATCATAAAGGTTTCATGACTTTCTCCATTTTCAATGTTTGTACTAGACTCCTAAAGCTTCAAAAATAAGGGTGGAGTATATACTATACTCGTCGACTTTAACCCCACCCCAAATTTAAATCTGTTCCTACGCCTATGTATCGATCCTATGTATATCTATGAAACACGAACCATTGGCGTTGTGGGGGTACAGCCAGGGGAATACCCACGAATGATTTAAGGGAGACACCACTACCAGAAGGCATATGGAGGGCGCCAGAAAGCATCTTTACAAACTCCTCTAAATTTATTTCAGGAAACAAAATTCAAACAAATAAAACCACTGAACGGCGGAATGGATAAGAAAAAATGGCGGACGGATCTATTTCTGCTGAGATTTACCAAAATTGACCAATATTATTTCGCATTGTAATACAATTTGTAATCAGAATGATACAATATTTCTATCTATTCATATCCAACACTCTGTTGCGTTTTTACTCAAAAGGACAAGGAACATATAATAAACAGGCATCGCGGAGGATCGATAATTGAGGGGGGAGGGGCTAATATTCATATATTCATATATGCAGGCTTAAGATCTTTTGAAATCCATTGTTTTCTAAGGATTAAAACATAAATATATGGATATGAGGCCCCCAATTATCGATCCTCCGCGGTGCCTCCGCGGTGCCTCAGGTTCATCTGAATTGTCAAAAGCTCTTTTATGATGACGACATTAACTTAAAACTGACTTATTTTGTGTTGTTCAACACCTAGACTTTGTAAATTATAGCTTTGAAAAATCGTCCAGTTTGCACAAGTGCTTCTTAAGCTATTTTTATAGTTATTATGGATATTATTATTATCTTACACAAACAATCTCATGAAGGGATTTTGAATCGAAAATGCTTAAAAATATTGTGCGCAAGGAGACGTAAATTATCCTGAGATGACGAGATTACAAGGAAAAGCATAATCAAGGAGTATATGTTGAATGTTAGAAAGTATATCACTACGTATGCAAGATACAATTTATAAGTGCCTTATACATAAATTTGATAGTATAACTTACTTTCAAAGTCGGGGTAATATTCCGTTCCTTCACCTTTAGACTCGTAACGTTCTGTCAATTGAAAAGTCACCAAACGTGTGACAGTATTTTAGTCAATAAAATTCGACTCAGAAAAAGCCTTAAAGATATATCTATAGTTGGTGCATAAAGACATAAAATCTCTAGACGAAAATTATCGAGGTAAAAAGATCAATAAAGTGTATGTATGTTCTACGATAAAATGTTGGTAAATATATCCATAATTTTGCATGTATAGCTTACACACAATTTACGTGGGTCTTGTATAAATTTGATTGTATATAACTTACCGTCATCCATGAAGTAACTTTTCATTCGTTGAAGGCAACTCTATAAATTCTGTATTATCCAAGGTAAATATCAAACTTAGGAAATTCTGCAATCATAAATACATATTTATTAAATCTTCTTTCTCACTCGTTGAAATGAAAAGATTAAAATAGAATTCTTCCATAGTTTTAATATCCAATCATTAAGGCGTTTAAATTACATACAACATCATAACCATCAACGCCGTACGTCAACAAAGCAACTTTCCGTGATTATTAACCTTAACATAGATGAAAATTTATAAAAATTAAACATACGCAGGAAGAAAATTTTCAGAAATTGTACTCATCCTTGTTAAACGTTACTTGTATCAATGTTTTAAAACATCCAACTGTATGAAGTTAATCGTCAAAAATCTACGATAATCATTTGATGCACGCCAAATAAGGGTGTTTTTTTTTACAAATTATTGTCGAAACAAAAATATTTATCATAATAGTAGCAAAGTAGCGACAACTTAGGGGAAAGCTTACTATTCACAGATTCTAAAAATTATGATTACCCAACAAAATAACAAAATCACAAAAAATTTGTCACAGCAACAAGGTAGCTATAACAAGGTATAGAAAAGACTACTATCGTCAAGTTTCATCTTTATAAACTTGATTTAAAACATATTAGATTCAAAGGTTTACTTTCACCAATTATGATGAAGCTATCACAATCATGGACACCTTTAACTCAGTAAGGCAATGGTGTCTTTGTCAATGTGAACGAAATTGGAAGTTACTTTTTTCCGTACAAATCTCTACCAAGAAATTTAAAAGCATAAATCAAAACACAATCCGCTTATTGTAATCACAGCAAATGGAACGTTTTAAAGTATAACTGTTTAATGTTTGTGATTAACCATTGATTGCAGTCGACTACATTTAAAAAAAAACACAGGAGATTTTAAACTTGGACAACCGAATCAAACAAGGCGCTACCATGCAACACCTATTGAGAAGAAAAAAACCTTAAGGGTATTGGCATGTAAGATATACAGTATTAGAATTTAGAATAGTCCGTTCATCTAAAATGCAAGAATTCATTGAAAAATGTGATATTACGCGTGTCAATGACACACTTCATTGCATAACTATTTAAGATGCAACTATTTAAAATAACAAGAAAAAGATCTTTGTTCATTCGATACTAGCGATACCGAGAATTTGTCTATTTTCATTTTCCTATTATCATTCTAATCAAATTTTTCCTGGTAAATGTTCAAATGGTAAATGATATTACGCGTGTCAATGACACACTTAATTGCATAACTATTTAAGATGCAACTATTTAAAATAACGAGAAAAAGATCTTTGTTCATTCGATACTAGCAAAACCAAGAATTTGTCTATTTTTGTTTTCCTATTATCACTCTAATCGAATTCTTCCTGGTAAATGTTCAAATGGTAAATGTATTACACGTGTCAATGACACACTTCATTGCATAACTATTTAAGATGCAAATATTTAAAATAACAAGAAAAAGATCTTTGTTCATTCCATACTAGCGATACCGAGAATTTGTCTATTTTTATTTTCCTATTATCATTCTAATCGAAGTTTTCCTGGTAAATGTTCAAAACTATTTTTTGTTAACTGTAACTAATAAGAGACTGAAAGATATGTGTTAAAAAGAGAAATTGGGGATTGTTACACGGAATTAAAGACTGTTACGCTCAAAAAAACTAAATTGAATTTGTGAAGTCTTTTGTTTTGTATAAAGGTAATAACAAAATGTGTTTTTCATTTAGACATTGGAAGTTTGATTTAATCGCGAAGAGACTGACTTTCTATCTTATAGAAAAATCCAATACAAACTATTGGCGATTGAATCAAACGCCTGACGCGTGAAATGTTCTTAAAATGGTTATTGGGTATTGAAAGAATTCACAAATGCAATCTAGAAAGGCAACGTGTAGTTTTTATCCAGTAAAGACATGTCACAACTATGTTTGTAAAAATTCTCTCACCTTTAAAAGTTTCAACAACCTCCACTTCTTCACTGTTTTTGCTTCCGTCTGACAGCACGAATGCCTTCTTCTGCAGCTCGTGACCTTGAGAGAAATAAATATTTCTTTTACAAAGTAGAATTTCAAATTCAAAATATCATAGCTAGAAAAACAGGCTTTATGGAGATTCTCCAAGGATATTTCGTAAATGACTGCATTTCAGTATGCTTACAAACGTAAAGTTGAAATGTGTTTGAAAAAAGTATCCTCTACAAATAAACAGTTATTACAAATAAACATTAATTTAAATAAATCTTGCGTAAATCTACCAATAGCAAAACACATATTGTTTATGAATGGACTTTTTCTTAAATTATTCAACTGGAATTTTCTTTATATCATACTGGATGATGGCTTGGGCAGCAAGAAAAAATCCTTACTTTATCGTTTTTGTCACCATTTTGTTGACCTTGCAACTGCTCATGAAAAAACTTCGGACATTCTGTGAATTTGACAAAATGCATTAACAAAAATAGGTACGCTTGCGTACACGTGGGAAGCCTGTAAAACAGGAGACGCAAAAAGATTGAAACAAGTGGAGTTGCAGTCACTTTAACACAGGATAAGAATTTTCTAGTATGCATAAATTTAACAGTTTGCAATTGTTAGGAGACCATCCGGCAATTGCGATGAAATATGAGTTATGTTTGATCACATTTATCTATGCTTCAAGACCTGGTATTTAAATTCTGTTTAAACAATATTACTATTTTGAAACATTGAATTCATTGATTGACAACTTGTTTTATCATGATACTTTGAACTCCTGATACTAACAACAGAATTGTCATTATTTGTGGAGGATCGAAAAAAGGTTTGAACTTTTTGTAAATAAGAAATATGATATAAAGGCAGTGCATAGAGTGTCATCACAGACATGATATTTGCCACTCTCTTGTTTTGCATAGCCTAATTTCTTGGACAAATAGAATAACTCACCTTCAATGTTGCAAGCAGACCAGTGAGACCTCTCCCAGAAAATTGTACAGCTCAATATTAGTGCAAACTAGATAGACAGTAATTAGTAATCGTAAACAAACATTAAAAATACTCATTGCAGATACATTTTCATTCAGTGACTGTGTCCAAATTATGAAAAATATGCATGAATTTAGCATAATAATAATGGAATCCAACAATTATATACTTTTTCGGAGCCCATTTGCTCTTAGTTGAGGGCTTTTTTGATTGCATAACAAAATAATGTGTTAATGAAAACTATTAGTAAGAAATAGCTTTAGGTGAACTTATGTAAGGAATTCTCTTTTCAATAATACAAAAATCAAGTGCACCTGTACGTGAAAATATGATCTATGGCCGACTCTGGCCAGCAAGGGCGAGATTTTCCAAAGTATTTTTTTACAACAGAGGAATGTCTTCAGGAGAATGGGCCTGGAATTAAATAAGCAAATACTTGATTTAATAAAGTTTGATATAATTACTGGTAAACAAAATAATAGCACATAATAAATGCTTTAAATTTCTCAACTAATTAAGTCTTCATTTTCAACATGTCACAAGTGCTTGATACCTTCATATCAATCACCAACAATTTACACATAAATTCATTCACTTTTCCTTGAGCTTCAAAGAAATAATCACAAACAAATCCTAAAACACATCTCCGATGTTTTTCCAGAAATATATCCTACAATTACCCATGACATCATTTTTGTCTAACCTTGGACATTCGTTTACTAGAATTTTTAATGTCATGGCATTTTTCATTTTATCTTAGTATAATTGCATGAATCATGTCAGGTGATACCACAAATAAAAATAAGCCTTCACTTTGTAGCCCTTGTTCAAGCTTTCATTTAATATCATACTGCAACTTATCTCACTACATCTCATTCAAATTTAATTATAAATTACATACTTGAATAATTACAAGCTAATATGCACAAAACCAACAAAAGAGCCTGAAGGGGAAATTTTATCTATAACCATTAACCAATACCTACATAAAACTATTTTCATTTAAGTTTATTTTGTAAATATTTATATTTTTGCTAACATTTAATAAAGATGTTTCCATTTGAAAAAAATTCAAAATATTCATCTTACTTGTCCCCAGTTACTTTCTTCAGTCGTTAATAAAACATATTATTTTTCCATGGCCTGATGTCTTTTGAACAGCCACAAGCGTCTGCCATCCACAGCAACCAAACACAAGTTCCTAAACTGCATAAATGATCGGTGCAAACTAACAAACCAACAAGGGCCTAGAGAGGAAATTTGATCCATAAAAAACATTAACCCATATATATCCATCATATCTCATATCTACTCACATTGAAGCGTTGATGATAAACAAACTGTGAATCATTGTGAAATCTACATACACTAAACCTATAATAATATATTTCTCCTTTACTTAACTAACTTTGATGATTATAAAACTATTTTCATGTGAGTTCATTTCGTAAATATTTATTAATTTTATTTATATTATTGCTAGACAATATTAATGACGATGTTTCCATTTAAAAAAAATAAAATTCATCTTACTAGTCCTCAGTCCACTAAGGACTCGCCGACTTTACCTGACTAATCTTCACTTGATGATCATAAAGATTTTCGTCTTCATCGTCAAAGAAAACAAATCAATAAAATGTAAAAAAATCTGAAACAGTTATAAATGAAATATGATGAGGAATAAAATACCATGTAATACGTACATACAAGAGAGGTGCTTTGCTTTTAGCCGATTTTATTTTGTTTTGAAAAACGTATTTATAAATAGAGATGCATGAGGGACCGTGATTTTCTTGTCATGGATTCTTATCAATTTTGCTTTTCATCGACTAAAAAAAAACAACTAAAAACTCTCGAGGAAAATATCAAACTCTAACATTTTACATGATCATATATCAAACTCAGATGTAACGTAAGGCAGCTAGTACAAACAGACCTTAACGAACAAGTTACGAATGAGTTCTGCCTAAATACCTCAGCTAAGTCATGCAGTTATTGGTCCACAGACCTCAGTGATGCAATAATCATGTATAATTATTGTGTAACATGTGAAAAGCCAGGAATCAAAGTGTTTCTGTAATGGCTGAGAGTTGAAATTAAGTTGAACATAAATTTTCAAGAAGCAATTAGAATTAAAAGATTTATCAACATTTCTGTTATTCTCATGTATGACACTAACCAGTGTTGTGCCATGCTGCTAGAGTTGATTTGTTGAAGAACTTGCATACGTTAAATAACATAGTATTTACTGTCGGAAAGACTAAATCATATTGCTAACGAAAAGTTAATAAAAACAAACAAGAAAAAAGTTATTCTGTATAGTTCATGTATCGTTACAACGTGATTGCTGACCAATGATTAAACAAAAAACCCAAAATCATACAAGGTTTATTTATAATTATGAAATAGACAAACAAAATGAATTAAAAATAATTTAAACGCTAAATGTACTTAGCATCAAAATTCTTCAAGAACGAAAATGGACGACTGTTTCTAATATTCTCGTTTCTCTTAGAGCAAAGAAACAGGATGTCAGATATGTAAGGTTTTCATTTATGTTATATGGTTAGTTCCTTACTAAGTGAAAGTTTCATATATTCATAATTATTGGATTATTACATCATCAATAAGGAGTTAGTACCTCGTAAATGTTTTTAAAATAACTGTTACTACACGACAGACATTTAGGACTGCATAAGGACTGGGGAAACATGAATGATCTTGTTTATATAAATGATCAAACTTTTGCAGTGCTACTCAATTTAGACTTTTATATTGTTAATTTTTAGAGAATTAAAAAGACAATGTAAAAGTTAGTTCCAATAAAAATAACTATGACTGATGTCATGGGAAGTTTTTCAAGGGAAATGTTGTCGTGGAAGGTTTTTTCATCATCTGTAAAATATTGACCATCGTTAAGATTCAGTTCATTCAAAGCTATGTCCAATTTCAAGCAGTTGAGGTAAGCTTCATCATCATCAGGAGTCCCCAAGATGAACTGATGAAATCACACGTCAAACAATAACTGCATTTCGAAAATAAATTTGTTTGAGTCCTAGCACCAAAAAGCTGCATTCGAAATTTTATCTTTGGAGACTGCATAGAGAGATAATATAGTAACAAATCAAATGATAGTGTGCCATATCAATATATCAAGTCAAAAATAAGCCAAAACTCTTGAGCAAAATACCGAGCTATATCTTACTACATGTTCACATCTCAAACACAAATGTAATGTGAGAAAGTTTGTTGCAACAGACCTTTGATAAATAATTCACGTAAGAGCTTACCCCAAATATCTTATCCAAGTCATACAGTTATTGGTCCACAAACTTCATCACCATAACGTATATAGTCAACTGACAAGTAACAAGCCAGAAACTTAAGTGTTATGCAGTACTCCACCTTGTGAGAGTTGCATACATGGTTATGATCTTTAGGTGAAAACACTGGGTCTGCTAAATGAAGAACAAGTATTGGGCGTGAGTAAATTTGTTGAAGAACGTAAATTATTTCACTTGCAAAAAAAACAAGATCGTCATATACGAAACGTTGTCACTTGCTACCTGTGGTAGCTTTAAAGCTTGTTTTTGTTGTTTTTTTTGGAGCAAAAGAGCTACATACTCATAATTAATGCATAACTACATCTTCCAAGAATTTTTGCTTTTTAATTGATTAAATTAAACAAGTGCAAACCATACAAATATTTATTTATAAATACATGACGGCAAAGTACTGAAATTAGTCATGTGAAGAATGTTTTATGCAGTGCGGTGTTTGATATTAAAGGAAGGTGTGATCTTCGCACTTTGCTGGACAAATTTAAGCAATTGTCTCATGAACCTAAAAAATTCAGATCACTCAACTTTGAGCTTCATAGCTCAGTTTGTCAGAGCACTGCACCGGCACCGCAAAGGTCATGGGTTCGAATCCCGTTGAGTCACCTGAATTTTTCAGGCTCATGAGAAAATTGCTTAAATTGTCCAGCAAAGTGCGACGATCATATCTTCATTCAATTTCAAACACCGCACTGCATAAAACATTCTTCATATGACATTCCTTTCACGAGAAAACATGAGCCCAAAAAAATTGACCTGCTCACCACTGTGTGACTTCATAGCTCAGTTGGTCACTTTATTGCCACAAAAATATAAAAAAATTTCCGACAAAGTCTATGCTAAGCTTGACATGGTTGCGTATCTTGCCACAACGACTGATGTATGGACGTCCGTGCAAACAAAAGGTTACATTACTTTCACATCACATTATATAACAGCTGTTTGGGAATTAAAATCGCGTGTGCTCACTAGAGTGCAGCTCACCAGTCAAGACAGAGGAAGTAATATTGCGTCAGAGTTAGACAAGCTTGCAAATGAATGGGTAATTAAAGATAAGATTGTCAGTATCGTCACCGACAACGCAGCTACTATGATTGCTGCAGCTCGCATTTGTGGGTAGACTTATTTGTCATGTTTTACTCACACGTTAAACCTAGTTGTAACACGTGCAATGAAAACCGACGATAACCTCGCTCGTGTTCAACAAAAGGCCAAGAATGTGGTATCTTCTTTCAATCACAGCGCCAACGCTACTGATTGCCGTTGTGAAGTTCAGAAACAACTATCAATACCAGCTCATAAGCTCATACAGGATGTCGCCTCTTGCTGGAATTCCACTTATTTTATGTTGGAAAGACTCATCGAGCAATTCAAATCTGTTACTACAGTCCTTTGTTTCATTGGTAGAAATGACCTTTGCCTGACCAATGAAGATTTAGTGGTAATGTAGAAAGCAGTTTGTGTACTAAAGCCATTTGCTGTTGGAACTGAAGAAATGTCTGCTGACAAGCATGTTGGTGTTTCAAAGGTTTGCAATAAAAATTGAAAAGCTCATCCGGAAGTCTGCTTTTTGACTATATCGATACTAATATTTTTCATGCTTAACACGTAGATTATTCCGTTGGTGAGATCACTGCAGTTTGTTGCAAGTGAAAATACAAAAGATGCTTCCAATGATTTGGCAACCAATATGAAAAACCAGCTGAACAGAAAATTCTCTAACATAGAATCTGTACCCCTTTTTGCTTTGGCGATTTTAGTGGATCCAAGATTCAAAAAAGTAGCTTTTACCCGAACTACGTCGCGTGACCAAGGTCAAAGTCGTTTGATTTCAGAAATGTTACCTTTGGCTCTGTCAACGCAATCTCAACCGCCTCAACACGTACAAGAAAGTAGTTTCGACTACAATTACGAATTATGGAAGAAATTTGATGACATGGAAACTGCTGCTCATAATCACCGAACTAGTAATACTGAAGCCACCATAAAATGCCGAAGATACTTTAAGCAGAAAAACATACCGAAGAAAAGCGATCCATTGATTTGGTGGAAAGAAAATGCCTGTCAATACCCTCTTCTTGAAAAAATTGCAAGGAAATATCTCTGTGTGCCAAGACGTTCTTTGCCTTTACCTACCAGTACCGGGAGAACTGGTAAGCGAAAAAAGAAGTAGGTAAAGGCAAAGAACGTTAACATGATGCTTTTTTTAAACAAGAATATGTAACTTTCAAAAATACATCGTTACTGTTAACATGTTCCAAAGTGCAAAAATATTTATTTATCTTTCAGAGCAGCATGTAACCAATTTTTTCAATTCGAATTTATACAGGTTCTGAAAATTTATCGTTACTCCTAATAATGTTATGACAGTTGGTAATTTAAGACAAAAAAAAATAAATTTTTGTCGTATTGTTGAAGTACATAAGGCCACACTTTACCAATTCCATTATCAGATCTGTATCAAGTGACTCACACTTTTATTTTCGAAATTGGAGAAAGTAATCGCTTTAGTAATCGATACTTCGATACTTTTATAAAAAAGTAATCGGTATCGTATCGAATCGATACTAGCGGTATTGCCCATCACTAATGTGAAGCAGGTGATCTACTTCGCTCCTTGATATGTGCCACTTTTTATTTGACAGCCATCTACACGACCCATTTTTTGTATGTGATAATTTTTATTTGTCACATAAAAGCTAGCTCACCAGCTTTTAAAAACAGGCGATTATTAAATGAAATTTGACAACTTTTTGTCGTTTACACGGTCAAATTAACATTGTCAACTAAAAATTGTCATATTAAAATTGCTCGTGTAAACGGGCCTTATGTCAGTCTTAAAAATCGATGCGTCATTTCTGACAGTTTCAAAAACAACTTGATCAAATTTTAGACATGTTTCAACAACTTATGAAAACAGTATCTGAAGACGTCTATCTCTATGAGAAGCAGTCTTTAGCCGATAGATAAGGAATCAGTCGTCACATAAGAAGTGAGATCCTGTGGAGAGAAAAGTGCAGCACTTTAACAAAAAGGCGCTGTCATAGCAGGTGCTATTTGTGACGCTGCCTGTTTTGAAAAAACCATTATTAAAACAGCTGTTACAAAAAGGTAATTTACGCGGCTATGAATTTAATTTTGTTTATGATGGTTTAGGTCGAGTATTGTCGAGACAGGCAGAAATCGAAGAACGAGGCAGTGAGAAAAGATAGATCCACTGGGGAGATCACATGTAGAAAATCTCCAAAACAAAACGCTCACGATACAAGTCGCAAGTTACAAGCAATTATGGAAATAATCACTAGAATCGTTGTCAAATCTAGAACGAATGTACATTTCTTGTAATGTTCACTGTAGATATGATACAATGCCTCATGCAACATGAAAAATGTAACATGTAACAGCATTTTAAGTAAGACGAAGATTTGGAGATGACATTTATAAAGCCTGAATGAATACAAAATTAAGTTTAATCAAAGGAAATAACACAGTTTCTGAAAACGTTGAATGATAACATTTCCTTGCAATATATGGTGTATTCTTGCAATCAAGACTGGCAATCAATCTCTTTTAATTAGAGGCAATGGGTTCAAAATAAACATTAATAAGCAATATTAATCGATCATGTCAAACAAACACAAACCTTCATTTTCCACAACAGAAAAAAATAAGAGATCATGACAGATAACCAAATCCTGTTGCAATTACTGGAGGAATGTCTTCGTGACCTTAAAATGAATGACGATAGTTGATTTCATCTGCATAGATGCACTTTTGTGATACGAATCTATAATAGCAACTGTTCATTAGAGTAACTTTAAACCTCTCAACCAAACAAGCACCAACAAACAATTGTCATTCATGTCAATAACCAACAATTTACACATAAACTCATTCACCTTTCCTTGAGCTTCAAAGAAATAATCACAAACAAAGCGACCTAAAACACTTCTCCAATCTTTTTCCAGAAATATATCCCTAAATATACGTGGAAGACATCAGATGACCCAGAGTAACCATGTTTAGTGTACGGTAATGTTGAGATAACCAAATAACAGTGGAGCATATAAATTTTCTTTAAAATGCCTTAACTTTTGTTAACATACTTACGGCTACCCTATACGACTCGCTTTAATAATTTTCTCCAGCTTGAAATAGAAAGATGTACATGTTCTTAACATATTCAACTTTTATGACGAAGTATATAACAAACATTACATTTATTTGCAAGATGCTCTACGACTATAATTAATGCACACATTTCCCTAATTGATTTTCATGCATTCACGTCCTACATTAATTAAGACCTTTACATACATATATGATCGAATTTAAGTTTATTAATAATCCATATTTCAGTGACTATACATGCAAGTAATTCTTGATATGACTTTATGAACCAATTTCTTGGTCGTTGCTCAACTTAACAATTTGAAAGTGGCACATAATTAGTTAAGAGTTTGTTATATTTCATTTTCCATGAAGATTACGGTTGTCAATAATGTCTTCAATTTTCTTTCCATTGACTTCCTTCAATTTTCACAGGATTTATGTTTCCTAAAAACGTTTGCAACGGGAAAATATAGAACTTAATTTTACTTAACTTTGAGAAGGTTGGAATCATTTATACAATTCTTAAAACATAAATCTTAAAGAGTACAAAAAAAAGTTCAATGTGACAAAGAAGTATGTTATTATGCATGGAACTCAAACATGTCTAAATCGTAAAAATGGGGTATTATTTGAATAGCTTACAGATAAAATGTTGTCGTAATTTACTTCTTGTTTTCCAGTCAGTCGATCTAATAATTTTGTGCACCAGTAGAGGAAGTTCGGGAAAACGTTGCATGAAATACTCTTTATAGTTGCCTTCCTTGATATATGGCAATAGACGTGAACGAGATTTATCATGCCAGTGCTGATCAACGTTACGTATGAATCTCAAACAACTTGCCCATGAAGACTCGTAAGTTACAGTCCTTTTTTTGTTTTTTACTTTAAATGTTTTTAAATCTTTCAAAACTTCATCATCGATACGTTTCATCCATTTTGAGCGAAGATTCAACCGCTTACGAACATCTGAATTTCGACATATTGGTTTTTTTATCTCCGGTTGGTTCCCAACTTTACTCAGCATGTCAAACTTTTCCTCATTGGATCGTAGATAAGGATGTTTAAACGCCTCGTTGGCTGATGGCCTGAGTTCAGGCTTATGCTGTAGCATCCATGAAAGAAGATCTTTAAGTTGAACATCATCAATTTTCTTCAAGCCAACAGGGTTTCCATTTAACAAGTTTTTCAATCTATTCTCTTCAGTTCCAAAAGCATGTTCCTCTTTTGTTGCAACATAATAAGCCACCATTCCTGCACTCTAATATTCATAAAAAAACCCATAAATAGTCACAACATCAACTGTAGATACTGAAATGCTAAAAAATTGAGTTTATTCGTTATTTGTAGAACTGAACAATAGCTATATATTTTTTAACGAACATATCTACCATTATATCAGACTCTTTCTTGTAACGACCACCACCCAAGGATTCAGGAGCGGACCAACCATAACTGCCTGTACCAGGACTGCTTTGATATGTTGAGTTATCGCCACTTTCCAATATTCGACTAATGCCAAAGTCAGCTATCATAAATTCGCCTTCCACGTCTTGAAGAACATTAGAAGGCTTTATATCTCGATGAAGAATAGAACTTGGGCAACTATGAAGATCAGATAATCCAGTTAAAATTTGTCTAAGGATTTCGGGAAGGGCTTCGTGAAGTTTATCTAAACTAGTAGACTCAACAAAACTTTTCAAAGTTTGTTCGCACAAGTCTACTATCAAATAGACAAAATCTTCTCCTTCCTCTTCTACATAGTTCCAATACTTTACAACATGCTTCGACTTCTTTGCCTTTGGCTCATTTAAAACATCCTTTTCTCGTAAAGCAAGATGGAGAGAGCTCTTTTTAGGGATTTTTTTTACAGCTTTTCCATATCCATCCTTTCCCAAACCAAGATAAACACAGGTTCCACCACTTCCTTCGCCAATCAAGAACTCGTCCATGAAAATCACACGTACATCACCTTTAATTCTAATATCACCTGGATGTTCAAGCCAATGTTTTTGCATCATTTCAAACTTTTTGCGATGCATCACTGATTTGTCAACGCAATTCCATTTTTGCGACTTCCCAACTTAAAATAATTGTATGGCATTTAGCAAAATATAAAAAATAGTCAAAAAGTCAATAGAAATTTCAATAATTTTAATACTAATGTGGTGTAAAAGTTTTCATCAGTCTAAAATTTCGGTACGCCTCTGGCTCTGTTAGTTTCAAGTGCAAGCACAAATCGTGGTTTCAAAGTGCATTTGCTACAAAAATCATGAGCAAATATTTAAAATTGTTTAAATATAAACTGCGAAAATGTGACCTACCATTTAACTTTAGATAATTAACAGGAATGTGGATTCGATATCTAACATTTTTATTGCAAACAATTAGCTTTATATTTTAAATAGTGTCTTACCAAAATTGTGATATTCATTGATGTGCATCTGGGCTAGAAACTTCAGATTGAATATTTTGTTGTCCGTTTTCTCAGCAATTTCAAGTTGGCTTGAATAAGTGTATGTCGCTGTAGTAAAAAGAACAATAAATACTATTAACATAATTAACATAACAGTAACCATTGCAACCAGACTGATAAAAAATCGCAAAAAATTGAAATTTAACTATTCCAATCCTGTTGACGTTAATTGGCTGTGAATTATAAGAAAAGTATTACAATTGCGACTCAAATTTATTATTATTAGTACAACATTCTACAAGTATGAAAAGATCAGTACAACATTCCATTCTCTCTTCATTACATCTCACATTTTTGACCGTTAACAAAAGCATTTGAATAAGGAAGATATAAACGAAACTCAATGGTTACAATTGAAATTTAACTATTCCAATCCTGTTGACGTTAATTGGCTGTGAATTACAAGAAAAGTATTACAATTGCGACTCAAATTTATTATTATTAGTACAACATTCTACAAGTATGAAAACATTAGTACAACATTCCATTCTCTCTTCATTACATCTCACATTTTTGACCGTTAACAAAAGCATTTGAATAAGGAAGATATAAACGAAACTCAATGGTTACATTGCATTCTTGTTTGTACTTAAGATTTCAAAAGGCAATAAAGATTACGTTTGTGTAAATATTTGCATATAAAATTCCATTACTTACTAGGTCCTGATGTAGACGTTATACCAATATCAGCATCACTGTCATTATCATTTAGTAGAAATAGCAAAGATTTCTTTTCTTCAGAAGCTGAAGCAATGTAAATATGAAACATTTAAGAATGATAATATTATTAAAAAGTATTGCAACAAATGTAAGCTTTTATTTCTACAGGATTGTTAAATATTTTATATTTTCTTATTTTTATGGAATTACTCTGATAAAAACCGCATTTGAAAGGGGCGTTCACCAGATGGAAACGGGTAATTGAGGCAAGGCGTGTATTAGAGGAATACGGTAACCCTTGTTATTAGAATAATCGACTTTTATTTACTGTTACAAAGTGGATTCTCGTCAATTTAAATCATTTTACCAATTCCTAAAATAATATATGCTAAGTCGTAGACAAGAGTTATATTTTGAGAGTGATTAACTTCCAGTGAGCATTAGTTTGTTGTAACTTTATTTACCGTCAAGATCAAGATTGTCCATGACGTCTTTGCTTTTCTTTCCACTAACTTCTTCAATTTTCACATGATATTCAGTATCTAAAAAAATGTTCACAACGGTATTGTCATTATTATGTACAGCTTAAAGTGTAATGGAAAACATTATAGAGTGTTAAAAACACACTGAATAAAAATACAACCAAAAAAGAGAGAGTTGGTCGAGTAAAAAAACAATTATTTTATAGCCAAATTTGTTAATTTACCGAAAAAGATTGAGTGAGCATCAAAATTAAATCGGGGATATTTATATCACCATGGAAGCCTAATTCAGTAATGTCTTTAAAAAAGGAAAATTATGTTTATGGCTTACAAGTAAAATGTTTCTTGAGATAAGGTCTTGTTTTCCAGTCAGTTGACCTTATGATTTTATGGACACGAAGAGAAAGATCGGGAAAATGTTGCAAAAAGTACTTTTTATAGTTTCCTTCTTTAACATATGGCGATAGATGTGGACGAGGCTTATCCTTCCAATGCAGGCCAACGTTTCATATTTTTACTATGTGTCTAAATTTAAACTAGAGTATTTGGTATATCCTATAATTCTTCTTAAGTCGATATTTATTGATAAAACTTACTTTTTAAATTTGTCTTTGCTGTAACACGCCTTCCTGCCAAATGATGTAACTTAGCGAGTGTCGGGAATTATGTAAAAACGTTTGCAGGTAAATCCATGACGACGGTCGTCTACCAATGAAATTCCCTGAAATAGACACGTTTAATAAATTACCATGTTTATTTAGAAATTTCAATCACTAATATTTAAATTGAAAACTGACACGCAGTTTTCCCTCTTTATGTCAGTCTTAAAAATCGATGCGTTATTTCTGACAGTTTCAAAAACAACTTGATCAAATTTTAGACATATTTCAACAATTTATGAAAACAGTATCTGAAAACGTCTATCTCTGTGAGAAGCAGTCTTTAGCCGATAGATAAGGAATCAGTCGTCACATAAGAAGTGTGATCCTGTGGAGAGAAAAGTGCAGCATTTTAACAAAAAGGCGCTGTCATAGAAGGTGCTACTTGTGACGCTGCCTGTTTTGAAAAACCATTATTAAAACAGTTGTTACAAAAAAGTAATTTACGCGGCTATGAATTTAATTTTGTTTATGATGGTTTAGGTCGAGTATTGTCGAGACAGGCAAAATCGAAGAACGAGGCAGTGAGAAAAGATAGATCCACTGAGGAGATCACATATAGAAAGTCTCCAAAACAAAACGCTCACGATACAAGTCGCAAGTCACAAGCAATTATGGAAATAATCACTAGAATCGTTGTCAAATCTAGAACGAATGTACATTTCTTGTAATGTTCACTGTAGATATGATACAATGCCTCATGCAACATGAAAAATGTAACATATAACAGCATTTTAAGTAAGACGAAAATTAGGAGATGACATTTATAAAGCCTGCATGGATACAAAATTAAGTTTAATCAAAGGAAATAACACAGTTTCTGGAAACGTTGAATGATAAAATTTCCTTGCAATATATGCTGTATTCTTGCAATTAAGACTGGCAATCAATCTTTTTCAATTAGAGGCAATGGCTTCAAAATAAACATAAATAAGCAATATTAATCGATCATTTCAAACAAACACAAACTTTCATTTTCCACAACAGAAAAAAATAAGAGATCATGACAGATAACTAAATCTTGTTGCAATTACTGGAGGAATGTCTTCGCGACCTTAAAATGAATGACGATAGTTGATTTCATCTGCGTAGGTGCAGTTTTGTGAGACGGATCTATAATAGCAACTGTTCATTAGAGTAACTTTAATCTTCTCAACCAAACAAGCACCAACAAACAATTGTCAATAACCAACAATTTACACATAAACTCATTCACCTTTCCTTGAGCTTCAAAGAAATAATCACAAACAAAGCGACCTAAAACACTTCTCCAATCTTTTTCCAGAAATATATCCCTAAATATACGTGAAAGATATCATATGACCCAGAGTAACCATGTTTAGTGTACGGTAATGTTGTGATAACCAAATAACAGTAGAGCATAAGAATTTTCTTTAAAACGCCTTAACTTTTGTAAACATACTTACGGCTACCCTATACGACTCGCTTTAATAATTTTTCTTTCCAGTGACTTCCTTCAATTTTCACAAGATTTATGTTTCCTAAAAACGTTTGAAAAGGAAAAATATAGAACTTAATTTTACTTAACGTTGAGAAGGTTGGAAACATTTATACAATGCTTAAAACATAAATCTTAAAAAGTAGAAAAAAAAGTTCAATGTGACAGAGAAGTATCTTATTATGCATGGAGCTCTAATATGTCTAAGTAAAAATGGGGTATTATTTGAATAGCTTACAGGTAAAATGTTTTTGCAATTTAGATCTTGTTTTCAAGTCCGTCGATCTAATAATTTTGGCACCAGTAGAGGAAGTTCGGGAAAACGTTGCATGAAATACTCTTTATAGTTGCCTTCCTTGATATACGGCAATAGACGTGAACGAGATTTATGATGCCAGTCCTGATGAACGTTACGTATAAATCTCAAACAACTTGCCCATGAAGAGTCGTAGATTACAGTCCTTTATTTGTTGTTTACTTCATATGTTTTTAAATCTTTCAAAACTTCATCATCGATACATTTCATCCATTCTGTGGGACAGTCCAACTGCTTACGAACATCTGAATTTTGACATTGTGGTTGTTTTATCTCCGGTTGGCTCCCAACTTCACACAGCATGTCAAACTTTTCCTCATTGGATTGTAGATAAGAATGTTTTAACGCCTCTTTGGCTGATGGCCTGAGTTTAGGCTCATGCTGTAGCATCCATGAAAGAAGATCTTCAAGTTGAGCATCATCGATTTTCTTCAAGCCAACAGGGTTTCCATTTAACAAGTTATTCAATCTATTCTCTTTAGTTCCAAAAGCATGTTCCCCTTTTGTTGCAACATAATAAGCCGCCATTCCTGCACTCTAATATCAATAAAAAATCCCATAAATAGTCACAACATCAACTGTAGATACTGAAATGCTAAAAAATTCAGTTCATTAGTTATTTGCAGAACTGAACAATAGCTATATATTTTTTAACGAACATATCTACCATTATATCTGACTCTTTTTTGTAACGACCATCACTAAAGAATTCAGGAGCGGACCAACCATAAGTTCCTTTACCAGGAATGCTTGGATATGTTGATTCATTGCCACTTTCCAATATTCGACTAATGCCAAAGTCAGCTATCATAAATTTGCCTTCCACGTCTCGAAGAACATTAGAAGGCTTTAAATCCCGATGAAGAATAGAACTTGGGCTACTATGAAGATCAGATAATCCATTTAAAATTTGTCTAAGGATTTTGGGAAGGGCTTCGTGAAGTTTATCTAAACTAGTAGACTTGACAAAACCTGTCAAAGTTTGTTCGCACAAGTCTAATATCAAATAGACAAAATCTTCTTCTTTGCATTTGGGTTATTTAAAACATTCTTTTCTCGTAGAGCAAGATAGGTATAGCTATATTTAAGGATTCGTTTTACAGCTTTTCCATAACCATCATTTCCCAAACCAAGATAAACCAATGTTCCAACACTTCCTTTGCCAATCAAGAACTTTTCATCAAAAATCACACGTACATCGCCTTTAATTCTAATATCACCTGGATGTTCAAGCCAGTGTTTTTGCATCATTTCAAACTTTTCGCGATGCATCACTGATTTGTCAACGCAATTCCATTCTTGCGACAACCCCACTTAAAATCATTGTATGCCATTTAGCAAAATATAAAAAATAGTCAAATAGTCAATAGACATTTCAATAATTCTAATATTAATGTGGTGTAAAAGTTTTCATCAGTCTAAAATTTCGGTACGCCTCTGGCTCTGTTAGTTTCAAGTGCAAGCACAAATCGTGGTTTCAAATTACGTTTGCTACATAATCATGAGCAAATATTTAAAATTGCTTAAATATAAACTGCAAAAATGTGACCTACCTTTTAACTTTAGATGATCAACAGGAATGTCCGTTTTCTCAGCAATTTCAAGTTGGCTTGAATAAGTGTATGTCGCTGTAGTAAAAAGAACAATAAATACTATTAACATAATTTACATAACAGTAACCATTGCAACCAAACTGCAAAAAAAATCGCAAAAAATTGAAATTTAACTATTCTAATCCTGTTAACGTTAATTGGCTGTGAATTATAAGAAAAGTATTACAGTTGCGACTCAAATTTATTATTATTAGTAACACAATAAGAATTTTTTCAAAAACTGTAATATTAACAACTTTATTATTCAATTTTTCATCGAAACACTCAGAGATACTTGTAACCACACTCTACCCCCTGGAGAAGTCGCAAATGACAGTGAAGTTGTCAGATGCTCATCATCTTTTTATGAGCATCGCGTTTTTTAGTCTATTATATATTTGTTAGCTTTTGACGCACAATTGTTTTGTATTTATTCAAACTTGGTGCTTAAAAATCAATGTTTGTTTATACACTCGGTAAAGCACATGACGTAATTTCTAAAGGTACGTTTACAAAAAATGTTTTGTCGAGCCGACATTTACAGGTACTTTAACACACAACGATTTGTCGGACCGACACTGACGCCATATTACGTGTTCTTGTCATACATGGAAAGTCGCCGGACTCGAAAAATCAGATGAAAATCTGTAGCAAACTACTGATTTTTTACCGATTTTAACTATGTTGCTATAGTTTCTAAAATAAGCAAATTATGACCATCGAAAATAATTATCGAAATGTCTTTGGTTGCAAGAGAAAAAGAAAATGTTGAGAGCATTGTTGTTTTCATCGAATAACCAAAAGCGGCAGAGTATTTTATATCGCGTCTGTTTAAACATATACAATAGTGAAAAGTGTAGTTTATATTATACTAAAAATATTCAACTCAAATAATAACATGATGATTTTCACTCTGCTTACCTTGTTCATGTTCCTGATATGTTCTCTCGTCAGCTTTCTCTAAAACATCACAAAGACACAAAAGCATGAAAAATTGATAGTCAAAAAGTCGATTGCTATATGTATATTTTTTTATACTTCTCTGACTTTATTTACATTGTATTATCAATTGTTATTACCGTTGTCATATTAAAAACGTTTCGACCAGCAAAATATTAAAGAAAAATTGAAGGAAAATAAAATGAAACAACTTTTTACCTTTATAAGAGGCAGTGCGACCATTGTCGTCACGGTTGGTGTTGTTCAATGCAGTGGCATCGTCGATGTGTTTATCACTAACAGATAGGGAGTCATCATTGTTCTTCGGTTTAAAAAACTGACCACCCTGAAGGCCGAGTGCTTTTAAGACAATGTTTAATCTAAAGCAGACATAATATGTCTCTCCGTGATCTTTTACTAATGCAAATCCATACGCAAACGGTTGCCAATTATTTTTTTCATCCAAAAAATAAATAAGAACACCAGCGTCACCAGGCTGAAGAAATGACTCATCACTTTTTATCGCGAAAGCATTACGCAAAATCACATGGTTATTAACAAAAATGAATACTCAAGGTCAACAAGTAGCCCTCAGTACCAGTGGCTGTGCGAACTTTCACAGATTCCCCTTGGCTTAACCTTTTGAGAATTTTGCTAAATACGTCATCAAAGTTTGAATCAACATCTTCCAATTCATCACCAACAAGCTTCTGAAAATCCTCTTTCTTGCCAACAGTGATAGACATGATATCAATTTCAGGACCATAAGAGAAGTCACAAAAATGACCAACTACGCTGTTATCATCCAAGAAAGTATATTTATTTTCATGTAATAAACGCTGAATGCTTTCTTTGTTTTCACTAATTTCATCTTGAATCGCAAGAAGGTCATAATTAAACTTCAGATGAGGTCCAAAACCAACGTGGAGACAAGTCAACGCGTAATATTTTTCATCTTTACAGCAAAACAGGGTCAACTTACCACGAGACCGCTCACTAGGCATATCGTAGTGTTGAACACAAATCATACTTGACAGTCGTTGAAATTTTCTTTTCGTCAACGTAATTTCTCATTAACTTATTATATCAGTATCTGTAATATGTAAAAATTGATTATGAGAAATTTGGGAAAGATGCACATTATATGTGTTAAAGCTCAAAACCATCGGTTTACACAACTGGAATAGAGGGAGGGTCAAAGTCTTACTTAGCACTTTAATTTTTCAAACAAGCATCATTTTTAACTATTTTTATATAAAATGTTTTTACTTGTCACAAACAATTAATCTTGACAATTTTTATAGACGTTTACTTTCACCCTGCTTTATGATTCAGAAATATGGGTGATTTACTTGTAATTAAAAGCGCAAAGAAATCCTCCAATACCCTCCAACTGTTTCAGTCTGCATGGTTATCACTTTTTAAAAACATCAAATAAAAAGAAAATTAAAAAGGATGGATTTTATGGGAGAAAATAGTTATCATTAACCAACGGACTAACACATTTGCTGCACTGACACAAAAACCCTTCCCTGTAAAAACGTGATTTGTCTAGGGAACTACATGAATTAAGAGTCAATGTAGTTCAAGTTAAGTGTAAAAAAGCATACGAGGTGTGTGTGTGTGTGAGGGGGGGTGGTGGGAGTTATATTCCCAGTTTTAGGCAAGTAGTCGGTGATAATATGAAGCGTCACCACATCAGAAAAACCCAAACTTCAAGAGGTTGAAGGTAGTGCACTTTTGCATATTTACCAACCGACAGAGATATTGCATTGAACTAGTGAGCCAATTCTTGATAATGAATGTTGTCTCATTTTCTCAAAATAGGTTTGTATGTAACCAATTCCTTTGTAAACATATGTAACAATAAAAAGTTAAAAAATTTAAATAAACACTTTTAGAAGTGGACTTAATTAAACAGCCCCGTTTTCTTTAATTGGTTATTTATGCCTCTCGTCTTTAGCACAAATGGCCCCATAGAATACTCATCATGTTTGAGACACAACACATGTAGTTTTACAGCTTTAAATAAAATGACTTGTTTGGATTCTTTCAAATAATGTATATCAATTAACAAATAATTGTATTTTTCTTGTTTGTACAGACAACGACATCATACTATACATAACGCCTAGCTATTCATGTTTGACAGGAGCTTACATGTGACTTTACGATTTTTATGTGCTACATAAACAAATTTTAAACTATGGCCATATATCATTGGCGATATTAAATTTAAGTGCGATTTCTTGCGTATCAGTAAAAAAGTTTTTGATTTGATCAAATTATTCCATTTTTATGGCGGTTTAAAGTTGTGAAAATGCCCTATTTCATGGACGATGTTCGTCTTAAGAAAATTCTGGGAATGCAATACATTTCCAATGACCAATTCAAAGCCATATGAATGAAATTGTTCATGTATCGTCTGTTTTGTCATATCAAATTAAAAAACGAATAAACACTTGGCGGAGGAAATAAGAAAGACTTATTCTAAACCATGAGCATTTCATATTTTCACTATGTCTCTAAAGTTAAACTAGAGTATTTTGTATATCCTATAATTCTTCTTAAGTCGATATTTATTGATAAAACTTACCTTTTAAATTTGTCTTCGTTGTAAAACGTCTTCCTGCTAAATAATGTAACTTAGCGAGTGTCGGGAATTATGTATAAACGTTTGCAGGTAATTCCATGACGACGGTCGTCTACCAATGAAATTCCCTGAAATAGAAACGTTTAATAAATTGCCATGTTTATTTAGAAATTTCAATCATTAATATTTAAATTGAAAACTGACACGCAGTTTTCTCTCTTTATGTCAGTCTTAAAAATCGATGCGTCGTATATGACAGTTTCAAAAACAACTTGATCAAATTTTAGACATGTTTCAACAACTTATGAAAACAGTATCTGAAGACGTCTATCTCTGTGAGAAGCAGTCTTTAGCAGATAGATAAAGAATCAGTCGTCACATAAGAAGTGAGATCCTGTGGAGAGAAAGTGTAGCAGTTTAACAAAAAGGCACTGATATAGCAGGTGCTATTTGTGACGCTGCCTGTTTTGAAAAACCATTATTAAAACAGCTGTTACAAAAAGGTAATTTACGCGGCTATGAGTTTATTTTGTTTACGATGGTTTAGGTCGAGTATTGTCGAGACAGGCAGAAATCAAAGAACGAGGCAGTGAGAAAAGATAGATCCACTGGGGAGATCACATAAAGAAAGTCTCCAAATCAAAACGCTCACGATACAAGTCGCAAGTTACAAGCAATTTTGGAAATAATCACTAGAATCGTTGTCAAATCTAGAACGAATGTACATTTCTTGTAATGTTCACTGTCGATATGATACAATGCCTCCTGCAGCATGAAAAATGTAACATGTAACAGCATTTTAAGTAAGACGAAGATTTGGAGATGACATTTATAAAGCCTTCATGAATACAAAATTAAGTTTAATCAAAGGAAATAACACAGTTTCTAGAAACGTTGAATGATAAAATTTCCTTGCAATATATGCTGTATTCTTGCAATCAAGACTGGCAATCAATCTCTTTCAATTAGAGGCAATGGGTTCTAAATAAACATAAATAAGCAATATCAATCGATCATTTCAAAGAAACACAAACCTTCCTTTTCCACAACAGAAAAAAAGAAAAGATCATGACAGATAACCAAATCTTGTTGCAATTACTGGAGGAATGTCTTCGCGACCTTAAAATGAATGACGATAGTTGATTTGATCTGCGTAGATGCACTTTTGTGAGACGAATCTATAATAGCAAATGTTCATTAGATTAACTTTAAACTTCTCAACAAAACAAGCACCAACAAACAATTGTCAATCACCAACAATTTACACATAAATTCATTCACCTTTCTTTGAGCTTCAAAGATATAATCACAAACCGAGCGACTTAAAACACTTCTCTAATCTTTTTCCAGAAATATATCCCTAAATATACGTGGAAGACATCAGATGATCCAGAGTAACCATGTTTAGTGTACGGTAATGTTGTGATAACCAAATAACAGTGGAGCATAAGAATTTTCTTTTAAAACGCCTTAACTTTTGTAAGCATACTTACGGCTACCCTATACGACTCGCTTTAATAATTTTTTCCAGCTTGAAGTAGAAAAGATGCACATGTTGTTAACATATTCAACTTTAATGACGAAGTATATAACAAACATTACATTTATTTGCAAGATGCTCTACGACTATAATTAATACAACATTTCCCTAATTGCTTTTCATGCATTCACGTCCTACATTAAATAAGACCTTTACATACATATATGATCGAATTTAAGTTTATTAATAATCCATACTTCAGTGACTATACATGCAAGTAATCCTTGATATGACTTTATGAATCAATTTCTTGGTCGTTGCTCAAATTAATAATTTGAAAGTGGCGCATGATTAGTTAAAAGTTTGTTATACTCATTTTCCATCAAATTACGGTTATCAATATTTCTCAATTTTCTTTCCATTGACTTCCTTCAATTTTCACAGGATTTATGTTTCCTAAAAACGTTTGCAACGGGAAAATATAGAACTTAATTTTACTTAACGTTGATAAGGTTGGAAACATTTATACAATATTTAAAACATACATCTTAAAGAGTAGAAAAAAAAGTTCAATGTGACAGAGAAGTATGTTATTATGCATGAAACTCTAACATGGCTAAGTCGTAAAAATGGGGTATTATTTGAATAGCTAACAGGTAAAATGTTGTTGCAATTTAGGTCTTGTTTTCCAGTCAGTCGATCTAATAATTTTGTACACCAGTAGAGGAAGTTCGGGAAAACGTTGCATGAAATACTTTTTATAGTTGCCTTCCTTGATAAATGGGGATAAACGTGGACGAGGTTTATCATGCCAGTGCTGATCAACGTTACGTATGAGTCTCAAACAACTTGCCCATGAAGACTCGTAGGTTACAGTCCTTTTTTTGTTGTTTACTTCAATTGTTTTTAAATCTTTCAAAACTTCATCATCGATACGATTCATCCATTCTGTGAAACACTCCAACTGCTTACGAACATCTGAATTTTGACATTGTGGTTGTTTTATCTCCGGTTGGTTTCCAACATCACACAGCATGTCAAACTTTTCCTCATTGGATTGTAGATAAGGATGTTTTAACGTCTCGCTGGCTGATGGCCTGAGTTCAGGCTTATGCTGTAGCATCCATGAAAGAAGATCTTCAAGTTGAACATCATCGATTTTCTTCAAGCCAACAGGGTTTCCATTTAACAAGTTTTTCAATCTATTCTCTTCAGTTCCAAAAGCATGTTCCCCTTTTGTTGCAACATAATAAGCCACCATTCCTGCACTCTAATATTAATAAAAAAAAACCATAAATAGTCCCAACATCAACTGTAGATACTGAAATGCTAAAAAATTGAGTTTATTCGTTATTTGCAGAACTGAACAATAGCTATATATTTTTTAACGAACATATCTACCATTATATCAGACTGTTTCTTGTAACGACCTTCATTCAAGGATTCAGGAGCGGACCAACCATAACTGCCTGTACCAGGACTGCTTTGATATGTTGAGTTATCGTCACTTACCAATATTCGACTAATACCAAAGTCAGCTATCATAAATTTGCCTTCCACGTCTTGAAGAACATTAGAAGGCTTTAAATCCCGATGAAGAATAGAACTTGGGCCACTATGAAGATCAGATAATCCATTTAAAATTTGTCTAAGGATTTCGGAAAGGGCTTCGTGAAGTTTATCTAAACTAGTAGACTTAACAAAACTTGTCAAAGTTTGTTCGCACAAGTCTAATATCAAATAGACAAAATCTTCTCCTTCCTCTTCTACAAAGTTCCAATACTTTACAACATGCTTCGACTTCTTTGCCTTTGGCTCATTCAAAACATTCTTTTCTCGTAGAGCAAGATGGAGACAGCTATTTTTAGGGATTTTTTTTACAGCTTTTCCATAACCATCCTTTCCCAAACCAAGATAAACGGCTCCACCACTTCCTTTGCCAATCAAGAACTTTTCCATGAAAATCACACGTACATCGCCTTTAATTCTAATATCACCTGGATGTTCAAGCCAATGTTTGTTCATCATTTCAAACTTTTCGCGATGCATCACTGATTTGTCAACGCAATTCCATTTTTGCGACGACCCAACTTAAAATAATTGTATGCCATTTAGCAAAATATAAAAAATAGTCAAATAGTCAATAGACATTTCAATAATTATAATATTCATGTGGTGTAAAAGTTTTCATCAGTCTAAAATTTCAGTACGCCTCTGGCTCTGTTAGTTTCAAGTGCAAGCACAAATCGTGGTTTCAAAGTACGTTTGCTACATAAACTGCGATAAAGGGACCTACCTTTTACCTTTAGATAATCAACAGGAATGTGGATTCGATATCTTACATTTTTATTGCAAAGAATTAGCTTTATATTTTAAATAGTGTCTTACCCAAATTGTGATATTCATTGATGTGCATCTGGGCTAGAAACTTCAGATTGAGTATTTTGTTGTCCTTTTTCTCAGCAATTTCAAGTTGGCTTGAATAAATGTATGTCGCTGTAGTAAAAAGAACAATAAATACTATTAACATAGTTAACATAAGTAGTTATCGTGCAGCTTTGTCACACTTTTGTCACGGAGCTCTTACCCGTGCCAGTTAGTTTCCAGTCCCCTGAAGTTGATCGGTGCGCGCGCATGTCAACCGGAAATAGGGTTTAATAAACATGGCATGGCATTGGTTGGCGTGAAAATCGGAAATACGACAAAGCTGGAAGTTGCATGCTATTGACAAAGTAACATTAGATCTGCCTTATGTTTTATTGGTTAATAAACCGGATCTATGTCATTGTGTATTCATTCTTCAAACTATATAGTCGAACTATCGTCTTAAAAAATGTTATTTGCGTTGTTTATTGTTGCATTGCTTTTGGACGTTTTGAAAAACAAAAATATGGCACACATGTTTAATCAGATAAATGCAGACACTGTTGAGTTTGAAGAAGTTAGTCACAGCGATCTTATCAATTTGACTTTCGTCGATTTTATAAGTAAAAAGATTCAAGAGCTACGAAGAGCTGAAAAGGATGAAAGTAAAGCAGACCCTTGGACGGAGTATCAAAACGTTTTAGAAATGATGGCTGAGGAAGATCGGTGGTTCAATTTTGCAGCTCGTGCAGTCGAAACAATTAATCGCGAACATGTCTGGAATGGAATATGTGAAGCCTTTAAGTTTCTAAAATACAGTGGACCTTCGAACTCTCACAAGACATATTTTGACAAACTGTTTAGTGTTACTTGGGTAGAACTAATGTTAATGTACACGGAGACAAAACGTCCTCCTTTTTATCAACATCTCTTTGACTATGCTGATTGTAAACTATGCTAGTTGTAAACTGAAATACAGATCAACTGTGTAATTGCTTTGACAAAAAAATAAAATATAAATTTCAATGTTATTGCATTTTGTATTCAGTTGTTTTATGACCATGTCATTGTGAAAATGGGGATCGGTAGCAGCAAACGTGAAAATAGAAATGCAAAAAGGGATAAAAATCATAATCGTCAGAAAATGTTTCGCTTGGGTATAAGTTTCGGACGCAACGATCTCAATCTTGAGGGTCATTTGCAAGCAGGATACACAAGTAAAACTGTTAAAATTATGGACCCGCCGCAATTAAACTTCCAACAGATAATGCGATAGAAGAAACACTGCCTGTAACTGAAAACATTGAACCCATCGATAATGAGTAGTTAAAAGAAATTGACATCTAATTGCAAAATTATTATCACGAGAACATTGTCATGAGTAACGTTGACCGGTACTTAGCCGGTGTATACTTCAATCCAAAACGCCCAGGAAGCTACGGAGGTGTTGAACGTTTGTACCGCGATGTAAAGGCAGAAGGAATATATGACATTAGTCGTGAAAGAATTAAAGAATGGCTCATGCAACAAGACGCATACTCTTTGCATAAACCTATTCGAAGAAAGTTTGAAAGAAATCGTGTCGTAGTGAGTGGTATTGACGACCAGTGGCAATTGGATCTTGCAGACATGCAATCTTTGCAAAAGTATAATGATGGTTATCGCTATCTTCTTATCTGTATTGATGTTTTTTCCAAATATGCATGGGCTGTTCCATTAAAAAAGTAAACAGGATCGTCGCTGGTAAAAGCTTTTAAAAAGATTTTGTCATCAGGACGTAAACCAACACACATTCAAACGGATCAAGGCTCGGAGTTTTTTAATCGAGACTTTAAGAAACTTTTGGCAGAAGAAAACGTTACCTTGTTTAATACATTTAACGAGACGAAGGCATCCATCGTTGAACGTTTGATACGTACACTGAAAACTAAAATGTGGCGCTACTTCACAGCAAACAAAACAATGAGATACATTGACATGCTTCCTGATCTACTGTATTCTTATAATCATAGCATGCATCGCAGCATTAAGGAAAAACCGATCAACGTTACAAGTGAAAATGAAGATAGAATTCGGCAAAATTTATATGGTGATAGCAAATTAAATAAACCTACGCATGTAAAATATAAGTTTGATATAGGTGACCAAGTACGAATAAGTAAAATAAAACGAAGGTTTGAGAAGGGGTATTTACCGAATTTTTCAAAAGAAATTTTCACTGTAAGTCAAAAAATACCGCGCAATCCTCCTGTATACAGACTGAAAGATCATGAAGGGACGAACTTCAAGGAACATTTTATGAAAAAGAACTTCAAAAGTCATCAAGAAAGACGATGTTTATGAGATTGAAAAATACTTAAGAAACGTGGTAGAGGGGCAATGTACAATATTTTGTAAAGTGGTCTGGCTACCCTAACAAATTTAATTCATGGGTACCAGCATCGGAAATACATATATAAAACGTAACCGTTTTCATGATTTTTTCATTTCACATTATACCTTAAAGATGAGCGGGACACACTTCTATCTGACATTACCTAGTAATGCATCTCTCTCTGTATTTCCTGAGAATAAGATTTCAGGTTATCGCGTAAAACTACCTCACGTTGTGAATTTAAATGGTAATTGGGAAGTAGGATTGTATTCAATTACATATCCTCATACATGGTACACGTTGAAAAAAGGTTTGGATACACATATATATGTAACTCACAAAACAGGTCTACCTACTCCGGTATTTGTCGACTATGGCCTGTATGAAAAAGCCTTCGACCTAGTAAAATCAGTTAATGAGACTCTTGACAAAGAAGTAAAAGACAATATCAAATTGAGCTTTGACCCCGAACAGAAAAATTAAAGTGCATGTAAGACAGGGTTACAAAATATCATTTAATCAACGAATGTCGGTCTTACTCGGTTTTGGCGGAAAAGACGTAGAGATTTTAAAAACAACCGAAAGCCCTTATGCTTCTGATTTGCACGGATCCGTCATGATGTATGTATATTGCAACATTGTACAACCGCAAGTTGTTGGAGACGTCAATGTAAAATTACTAAAGGCAGTTACCATTCAAGGAAAATATGGAGACATTGTTTCAAGAACATTCACTAATATCCAATACATACCTGTGCAAACAAAATCTTTTGAGGACATCGAAATTCTCTTAAGGGACGAGTTAGGAAACCCCATCGCATTTGAACGAGGGAAGTCGATAGTGACACTTCATTTCAGAAAGCAAGCTTCGTCTTATTTTACATAAGAAATATGACTCTAACAAATCGTTATGTTCAATATTATCTCAACCAACAACGAGGATACGGTTCATCACCAGTGTTTAAAGGAGCACCTTGGCAAAGAGGATATGGGCAAGTGGGTTATGGTCTTGGTGGCTTATTTCGCAGTTTAGCTAGGGCTGTAATACCTCTGGCAAAAAGCGGTGCAAAAGCTCTGGGTAAAATTGCTCTTAACACAGGAGCAAACGTTTTAGGCGATGTTATCTCTGGGAAAAGTGTGAAAGAGTCTGCAAAATCGCGAGTAAATCAGGCTGCTAAAGATGTGGGGAAAATGGCTGTAAACAGAATGCAGCAGTTTGCTCAAACAGGAAGAGGAAAGTCTTCAAAGAAACGGTCAAGAAAACCAGCTAAAAAGAGAAAGGCGACGACTTCCATTGCCATTCACAGTTCAGCCAAGAGACGTAAAGCAGCTAAAGAAGCAGAGGACATTTTCGGCTAAATATGGATTTCGTTCATCCAAAATCTGCAGAATGTACAAAACCGAACTTGATTTATTTTCTGTCCCACCAACACAAGTCAGTTTAGAAAAGGGGCATTGGATTGATCATCAACCTGTGTCCAGCGTATCTGAAAATGGACCAATTACATTTTTAGCGCCCGGCACTGAAGATTATGTTGACATGTCTAAGACAATATTGGTAGCTAGAGCGAAAGTAACAAAAGCCGATGGTGGGGATATCGACGATGACACTAAAGTTGGACCTGTAAACAATTTCTTGCACAGCTTGTTCAAGCAAGTTGACGTGTTTCTAAAAGGAAAGTTAGTTACACAAGCAACAGGAACATATCCATATCGTGCATATCTCGGTACACTTTTAAATTATGGACCGTCAGCCAAACAATCCCAGCTCACCGCAGCGTTATTTTACAAAGATACTGCAGGTCAGATGGATAATGCAGATCCTGCCCACGCAAGTCCAAACAGGGGTTTGAAGACAAGAAATAAGTTTATCATGGGAAGTAAAATTGTTGATATGGCAGGTCCTATCTTTTGCGATGTTTTCTTTGGTGAACGTTACTTACTTAGCTATGTTGATTTGAAAGTGGTCATGAACCGTACCAGTGACGAATTTGTCTTAATGTCATCGGTGGACGGTGCAGCCTTTAGAGTGAAACTGATAGATGCATACCTTAAAGTTCGTAAAGTCAAAGTGAATCCTAGTATATCTCTGGCTCACGAAGTTGCCCTGAAAAAAGGTCCAGCCATTTACCCTGTAAGACGTGTGGACTGTAAAAGTTTTATTATTCCTTCTGGAAACCCTTCGCTGCAAAAAGATAACCTTTTCAATGGTTTAGTGCCTAAATCGTTTGTTTTCGGTCTTGTTGAAAGTGCGTCATTCAACGGAGCTTATAAAAAGAACCCATTCAATTTCCAACATTTCAACATTTCATCGTTAGGCATTTCAATAAATGGTGAATCTGTACCATTTAAACCAATCAATTTGTCCTTTGGTGCAAATCCGAGATTTATAGAAGCATTTCTATCGCAGTTTTCTGGCACTGGGAAAATGTATTACGACACAGGCAATGGCATTACGCGTGAAGATTTTCCAAACGGTTTTACCCTGTTCGGCGCAGACTTTACCCCCGATATGTGCAGTGCATCCGAACATTTTAACACGGTGCAAAAAGGAAACCTGGCCATTGACTTACAATTCTCGACACCGCCAACTCATGCAGTTAGCCTTGTGTGCTATGGAGAGTTTGAGAATATAATACAAATCGATGGGGAGAGAAATGTCGTTTATGACTACATTGGATAAATGAACACCTCACAAATATGGACCGCTTTGAAATCCGATCCGGTAACAGGAAAAAAATTTCTCGGCGTTTTTCCAGCCGACCGTTTGCCTAAAGAAATCGAAAGCTACCCAAAAGGATTTATCGCAAACACGGATGTAAGCGGAAAACCGGGGACCCATTGGGTTGCCTTTACTTTCCTTCAGAAGAAAAGCCGAATTCTTCGATAGCTATGGACAACCACCAGGGCGATATCATAAGTTCTTTAGAGATTATTTGAAACATTATGATTGGGGGTTTAATAAACGTCAATTGCAAAGTATCTGGACGGATGTATGTGGACAATATTGTATATTTTACCTCAGCCATAGAGTGCGAGGATATAGCATGAATAAGATTGTAAACATGTTTGATGGTAATACTGTTGAGAACGATAACAAGGTATCAAGTTTCGTTAGCAGACATTTTCTTATAGAAACTAGTGTAACCCTAAACGATAGCATTCAGTCAAGTATAAAATTTGTTGTAAAAGCTTGAGCCGTTTATTATCAATAAAATTTTCTTTGTGTAAACTAATTGCCTGTGTTTTCTATTTGCATATTCTAATGATAACAGTCAAGAAATTGATATCAGCTGCTCTATTTATTTAAACAAAACAAATCTTTACATGTCAAATTTTAATAGTCTATCCAACGTAAACGAGTTTTCTTTAGTGTAGGGGCGGCTTTAGGTGGTGTCATTTTCGTTCTTGAGCCTCTGTGGTAGGCTATTCCGTCTTCTTCATTGGGCGAAGTTTCCATTTGAGCTTCTTCCCATCTTACATCGTTCCGAACCAAATCACGAGGAATGTTTATTTTTGATAAAACGCGAAAGAATTCTCTATAACCTGTAGGATTGAAATTCTTTCTCCCTCTTACGGCGTCGCTAATGAGGTCTGATATATTTGACTGAGGGATAATAACACCGTCAAGTTTGACTTGTCCTGAATCATCCCAAGTTATTATATCTGGTTTTGTTTTGAGACGCTGCAGTATTGCTGTTGCGCGTTCACGCATCGTCTTCGGCACACTTTGTACAATGACGGAGTCAGCTAATGTACGCACTTCGTTGTTTATTACCGTGTTTCTTTCTTCCCGTCGGTTGTATCCATCACGCGTACTGTGGGTATCTGAATATCTTTTGTTTCTTCAAATTAAGGAATTGCTCAAAGTTTGTGTTGAAAAGTTTTGCCTTTGATCGTCACTTAAACCGTCTTGGTGAAGGATGTGAGAGTTGAGTATCTTTTGCATCATGTTCATCGTAATTGGCGAAACTTCAAATTTTGCTTTTGTTCATATTTATTATAAACGTCTTCAGGTACTAAAATCATTCGCTTGGCATGCTTCATTATTTCAGCAAACTCCTAGTACGTTCAAAACCGGCGGTAGGAAGGCGCTCAGTAGATTGCCTCCTTTTGATTTAAAAGTTTTTCTTTTAGCTCTTGAAATTCTCTTGTTCGCTAAGGCTCTGAGATGTTTCTTATACCTCAACAAGCGTCGTTTTGACTCGCAGATATCGGTACAGTTCCTTTTAACACATTAACTGCGCATTCACAAATGCACAACATGACATCAGATGGTCCATGTTCGATGATAACCTTTCGAATTTTCGGCTTAGATTTTGCAAGTACTTGCAGGTACGGAAGATTGCTCCTAATTCGTTTAGACATGATGTTTAAATGATTGTTGATGTCGATGCTTATCACTTATGTACATAGACAATCTGCTTTTCACCGGGCAAGATATTTGTTCTGACACGCATATTGTCAGATGTGAGTTGATGCAAATCGAGCAAAAGATAGCCGTAAGGGCGGCATGTGGCGTCTTGAAATGACTCCAAAAGGTAATTCGTTTTCTTTGGGTACATCTGCCGTGCCAATGTTGCGATACCTAGCGAATCTCTGGGGTTTTTAAAAATGATCATGTAGTGGGAATTTAAGCTGATTGTTCGGGATTGTTTACCAGGCGGAAATAAATTTTGTGTTAGATACATGACAGAGACGCCACGGTGATGTGACCCGCGGGTAAATAAATCGGACATTCGTTGATCGCTAGAACATTCTGACATCAAATCGTCAACGACCACTAAAGAGTTTTGACAACCTTCCAGAATATCAAATAAGTTGTCCGGGAATCCTTCGACGAAGCAAATGTTTGGAATTTTTGATTCCATTTCACCAAATTCACTTTGCCGTTCGCCGTAACAGTAAATAATTTTATTCGGAACAGGATAAAAAAGTTCGTTTAAATTATAAAGCATCGACCTAACCAAATAGCTTTTGCCCGACTGACTTTGACCACACACATAAAAGTTGGCAGGTGTTCTAAAACGTACGTCCATTGTCTCGCAAATAAAAGCAAACATGTTCTGCTTTCACTTTTATAACCACTCGCTAGTAAACATTTTGACATATTCAAAGAAAGACGGAATGATTCGACTAGCTTGAATGGGGGAGGTATTTGTAAAATAGTGAACAAAGTGCACACAATAAGAATACATTGGACAATGAACAATTTTTATTAAATATTTTTCTAATTATCTACATGAATCAAACAACAAAAATCTCTTTTGATTACATATGAACACATCATACTTTAGCAGATATTTATGACAAAAATTTTAAAAGCACTTGAGGGTTTACTTTAAAATCCTCACAAGCATAGGCATGTCTTTTAATCGTTCATTCATTTTGTAACTACATTCATAGTTCGCAACATTCATAGTTCACAAGAGTTGTTTGTAACTTTTCCAATTTTCCATAATGAATTCCTTGCTGTCTGTATGTTTTTTCCTTATGGCTTGCTCATAAGACGAATAAAGGTTTAAACTATTGTATATAAATTATACCAAGTTGTTATCATAAAGCAGGGGGGGAGGGAGTTTAAATGAGCAATACCCATAAATGAATACATGATAACAACTTGGTATAATTTATATACAATAGTTTAAACCTTTATTCCTCTTATGAGCAGATGAGCAATGCTCATTGATGCTCATAATTACTTATGAGCACTTGCTCAAATGCTCATAACTGCTTCAACACACTTGCTCATTTGCCCACAAATGCACATTGCTACATAAAATGTCTCATTTCTAAAAAAGCAGTGCCGGCGAAATGAGCTGCAGATATTGTGGAAAAGTATTTAATCGAGCTTTCAACTTACGCAGACACGAAAAGAATACTGTCCACTAAGGGATGAGGAAAAAATGTCTCAATCAGATTCAGACAGTCAGGGAATGCATTTCGAAGATAATGTTTCTACAAGTTCAACAGATGAATCTGAAAGTTCAATGTCAATAGAAAATGAGGCTGAAACTGGAGAGAAAACTGATCCTTGGATACCTTTGATAGAAGAAGCAAGGGAAAGAAGTAATGTAGATTTCGATGAGATGAAGGAAAGCCTTGTGAACAGTGGTCTGGATGAGCAGACAGCTGAAAATCAAGCATATTCTAACATTCTACCAAAACTTCAAAAAAGAATTGGAAAGTATTTATATGCAACGTCTTATGTGGATAAACCAACTGAAAAAAAGATCCCATCCACAGAAAAATAATGCATACAAAGAAAGGGTTTATAGAAAATGACGACTTTGATCCACAGGAAGCTATGGAAGCAGCTATTGATAAGAGAAAGTTTCTCATCAACAGACTTTTAAAAGAGTACAGCTTTGGTGAGATTGCCAATGATGAAGAAGATTAACTTTGTTAGATGAATTCGTTTCATAATAACTTGTATCTTATTTTGAAGTGACGTTGTTCAATAAAATCTTTTCATTTTCAGTTTAGTGTGAAAATTACTTTAATATTGCATAGCTGCAAAATCCTCTGCTATTGTTTCTATCTCTATCTGTTTAATGGAAACATGCCGAGAAAGCCTCTTAGAGCTATACATACTGCGCGAAGCTCGATGTTTTTGAAATATTTTGCGCCTTCATAAGATGAAAAGGGAAATTCCCTAAAGTGATGATGCATGAAATAGCTCGAATAATATTACGCTTACGGCACACTTCTACCTATATACGCGACTTTCGGCAGTAAACCGGTTATTGTAAGCCTGAAACAACTAAAATTGTTGTGCCACATCGCATCTTGAATGCATAAGTTAATAAATTTAAACCACTATAGGCAGATAGGCTTGTGGTATCAATTACTGCAATATCAATATCAAACGCGCGTTGCACTTTTATCAGTTGATTGCCCTAACTTCTTGGTTTAAATTCTCCTAATACGATCTCTAGCAACCAGTAAAACAAACGCATACTAAAATAAAAATAATGTTTGTAAATCTAAGAAGGACAGAGTTAAAAGCTAGGATACTGCACAGATCTTACCCACGCCACATTATTCAAGGTCATACTATTCAATGGTAATTTATAATTTACATTTGCGAGATGGCAACGAAGGTCACATCTCAAGCGCATGTGTAGTGTATCTCAACCACTTACGAAACAGAGAGCCTTTGTGAAGATGCAATATCCAAACATGCAATCGAAGAAGGATGGCCTCGCCATAAGCGTCGTTTTATACCTTCAGTAAGTACCGTTTGTCTTTTTTCTGTTCCTTAGAGTGTTTGTATTAACTTTAACAGAGGCGTCGATTTTATTTTTTAGAAAAATGTGATCACTGTGATGATTATCTTGTAAAACCCTTGTGTGGGCATGTATCGTCTCATAAAAGACCTTATCGAGTAAGTTTTAATTCGTTTGTAGTTGTCGTAAAATGTTTTTTTCTATGTAATATTACATCGCTTACGTATATGTAAACAGAAGTGCTAACATGTAAGCAGTAAATTCATACATGTTTCTTATATTTCATTTAGAACAATGTGTAATGGTTTGACCTTACGAATCGAACGGGAATAAATAAAAATATATATTTACAAAAGCTTAACGACTCGTGTTTCAAGTTTGTTGTTTGACCTTACGAATAGAACAGGAATAAATAAAAATATATATTTACAAAAGCTTAACGACTCGTGTTTCAAGTTTGTTGTTTGACCTTACGAATAGAACAGGAATAAATAAAAATATATATTTACAAAAGCTTAACGACTTGCGTTTCAAGTTTGTTGTTTGACCTTACGAATAGAACAGGAATAAATAATATATATTTACAAAGCTTAACTTGCGTTTCAAGTTTGTTCTTTTTATCCGAAACAAATATTTTACGCCAGTCGTTACAAGTGTATTTTAGTATCTCAAGTCCATTAACGGGTGGCTTGACATCTTCAATGCTTTTCATAAAATCTTTGATCACAATCTCTTCGGACACATTTTCCAAGGCATCATCAAAATGCAACAACATACGCTCGTCATGCTCCATCATGAGACAGTCATGCTGACGTTGAGAGGGATGATCGATCATGCATCCATCGCAGTTCTTATTTACTTCAGCGTTTATCATTGCAGCAATTTCTTCAGCATAGCAGTCTAAAAGTTTATTTTCTAACAAACTTTGACGTACAGTTATTTCATTATTTTCTGACTCCAAAGTCAATTTGTTCATTCTTAATGCCAGATCAATGTCTACATTCAATTCCATTTGTTTCAAGAGATAAAATGTAAACCTTTCGATAAAGTATAAACTATAAAATGCAATTACCTCGTTTTCTACCGTTTTTACCTTCGATTGTGAAAAGGAAACGGATCTAATGTTACTTTGTCAATAGCATGCAACTTCCAGCTTTGTCGTATTTCCGATTTTCACGCCAACCAATGCCATGCCATGTTTATTAAACCCTATTTCCAGTTGACATGCGCGCGCACCGATCAACTTCAGGGGACTGGAAACTAACTGGCACGGGTAAGAGCTCCGTGACAAAAGTGTGACAAAGCTGCACGATAACTACTAACATAACAGTAAGCATTGCAAACAGACTGCAAAAAAAAATTGCAAAAAATTGAAATTTAACTATTCTAATCCTGATAACGTTAATTGGCTGTGAATTATAAGAAAAGTATTACAGTTGCGACTCAAATTTATTATTATTAGTAACACAATAAGAATTTTTTCAAAAACTGTAATATTAACAACTTTATTATTCTAGTTTTCATCGAAACACTCAGAGATACTTGTAACCACACTCTACTTAAAAATCAATGTTTGTTTTTATATTTGGTAAAGCACATGACGTAGTTTCTAAAGGTACGTTTACACAAAATGTTTTGTCGAGCCAACATTTACAGGTACTTTAACACACAACGATTTGTCGGACCAACACTGACGCCATATTACGTGTTCTTGTCATACATGGAAAGTCGTCGGACTCGAAAAATCAGATGAAAATCTGTAGCAAACTATAGATTTGTTACCCATTTTTACTATGTTGCTATAGTTTCTAAAATAAGCAAATTATGACCATCGAAAATAATTATCGTAATGTCTTCTGTATAAACAGAAAAAAAAGTGTTGAGAGCATTGTTGTTTTCATCGAATACTCAAAAGCTGCAGAGTATTTTACATTGCGTCTGTTTAAACATCTACAATAGTGAAAAGTGTAGTTTATATTATACTAAAAATATTCAACTTAAACAATAATACGATGATTTCCACTATGCTGACCTTGTTCATGTTCCTGATATGTTCTCTCGTCAGCTTTCTCTAAAACATCACAAAGACACAAAAGCATGAAAAATTGATAATCAAAAAGTCGATTGCTATATGTATATTTTTTTATACTTGTATGACGTTATTTATATTGTATTATCAATTGTCATTACCGTTGTCATATTAAAAACGTTTCGACCAGTAAAATATTAAAGAAAAATTGAAGGAAAATAAAATGATACAACTTTTACCTTTATAAGAGGCAGTGCGACCATTGTCGTCACGGTTGGTTTTGTTCAATGCAGTGCCGTCGTCGATGTGTTTATCACTAACGGATAGAGTGTCACCCTTGTTCCTCAGTTTGAAAAACTGACCACCCTGAAGGCCGAGTGCTTTTAAGGCAATGTCTAATCTCAAGCAAATATAATATGTCTATGAATCTACAAACATGCTAAAACCTTAAACATAGACTGCATTCTGGAAAATAACTTTGTTCAAATCCTGAGTTTAATAAATAAGTCTCATTCTACTCGCTACGAACGCCGTGCAGTGCGCTAGCTGTTCGAATTTTGAAAGCTGGTCAGTTGCATCATACAATATGATTTATACCAAAATGCTGAAAATCTTCTTTCTTAACAATGACAATGTACATAATATCCACATACTTATTTGACAACCCTTTCTTTGACAACGGATGCACTTTAGTGAAGTCTTTAGTGAAGCTGGCAATGGTTATATTTTTATGTTTAAAAGCATAACATTCACTGGTAAAGCCGCTGAATGCATTGCCAACAATCGTTCTTTCAACCAATAACTTAGTCTAGAAAGTTGGAGCACAAAACATGACCAAAAGGCATTAAATCGATTCAAAACAACAATTTTGGAAAATACTCTCAGGCTCATATCATTGGCTAGGTTTTTTCTTACATACAAGCCCAGAAATATATAATAAACACTTGCATGTAAAACAATGCATACAACCGCAGGGTTTCGAAAAGTTATGTGTGTGTGCCATGCTAACTGTGTGGTAATTTACAATAGTTAAGCTAGTGTGATAAATTTTTTTAAATTTAATTCGATTTTTTTTTTCTTTAACTGCATCATGTCACCCTCATTGAAAATTTAGCACATCTGTATAAACCAGGTATTCCATTTTTTATCAAATCTTTTAAAAAATGCTCACAATCCAAAAATTGGAAGTTTCTGAACATACATAGCCTTCCGGCTCCTGAGACATTTTTTTCTAGAGCTTAACGATCAAATATTAAGAAAAAATTTGATTGGCACCATGCAAAGACGAGTTGCATTCCAGCGAGTTGTTGTTGACAAAATTATGAGATTAATAACTTGGTTTACTGCATTTATGTTTAATTTGTAGTTTAAATAGCCATCAAAATAAATATAATCTGATAAAAATTCTTCTCTCAAGACGAAAAGCTTATCATTAAATAACTGATAACTCGCAAATAATTGCAAAAATTGTCTTTTGTAAGGAAAGGCATGAGAAATGTGGATAAATTGACAATTTGACTTTGTACAAATAACGAAGTTCATTTGTAGAGATGAATAGACACGGGATTTAGTCCAGACTGTTGGCTATCCTGTTTTTAGTTTTCCCGTGTTTTGCTAAAGTTTTTTTAGGCAAAATGTCATAACAGGGCGATTGACGTTTACAAAATTCATGCCCGCAAACATGCACGAAGCAACTTTGACGACCACATGCAACATTCAAATTGAGCCATCGAAGATTATGAATTTTTGTCATATCATAATGACGATATTCGTTATAGAGAAAAGACAGAAACTAAAGGATGTTCACTAAAAACTTCTAAAGATTCCCCAAGATAAACTCTTTCATCACTTGTGGTGCAGCAGAGTCAAAGCCAGCTATATCAAGCATTCCAGGATCATCTGGGTCAGCAATGGTGAAACCATTTGATGCCATGGCAACCACAATGAGTTTAGCATTATAAATCCCTGAATGCTTACGATATTGTTTTAGAGCCTCCCTTGGAGTAACATCACCATAATATGTTTCAGAGTCTGTGTAAACAATAAAAACATCAATCTTCAATTTGTTGTTGGTGGCATAAAGCATGGGCTGAGTACAGTCTGCATTACCCATTGGAATCTAAAAAATACAATGTAACATTTTTTGCTTTACACTACATACTTGAAATCTTTTGAAAATAAAACAAAGAAGAATCGTTGAAGATGTTGCAATTGCATAACATACAACAAACATGTTTGTAGATGTAGATTGTCAAGGTTAGTAGAGTCCTGAGAAGGACTGTTGTTGTTGATGTTGACTGACGTTTCAACAACCTTAGTGGTAGTCATTTTCAGCATTAAATCGCTACCGCTAATGTTGTCGAAACATCAGTCAACATCAACAAAAACAGTTCTTCTCAGGACTATACTAACTTGGAAGATCTATATTTACAAACATGTAAAGATACTCCCACATTCAAACCATTTACTTTAATACCATGAACAACTTCATAATTACTCGCAAACAATCAACAACTTTACATAAGAGCATTACTGTTCCCGAAAAAATTCTCAAAAATTAAAATTGAAGTTACATTAAATCAATTATGGTAAAGTAGGAGTTATTATGCTCAAATAAATTTAATTTACTCACATTGTTAGCAACATTCAAAACTTCATCCAAATTCATGTTACTGGATATCTCCATTGGAACTATTTCATGACTAAATGCAACAAATTCATGACGTTCTTCTGTTCGTGCTGTCATCATAGCCATTGCAGCAGAAGCCACATGAGGTTTGATTGTACTTGCACCAATACATCTACTGAATTGCATTGAGCCACTTACATCCATGGCTAGCATGTAACTTTTACCTGTTGGTTCAACATTCTAAAATTGTACAAAATAACATTGAAAATGCAAGTTAACAAAAAAAATTAATACCAACTACTTGGTGAAACAAATTGATTTTGTACTCTGTTACCCTTAAATGATAAATAAAATGCTTTCTCCAATGCTTTGGCGATTTCCACATTGGCTTGCCATTCAAGAGAACCTTTCTCACCCTTTCCAGACTTGTATGTTGTCAAAGCTAATAACATGTTAAACGGATGGATACGTGCAATTCTTAGCAGATTCTCGTTTTGCAGTTTATTACAAACATCTTTAACTTGAGGTGATCCTTCAGCAAGCAAGCCAATGGAAGTCATTTTGTTCAAGTTACGTATCATTGCAGTCATTGGCATTTTCTTTAATAGAGAATTCCATACCTAGAAACAAGAGTTTAAGAGTTTGAACAACAAGCTTTCCGAATTTACAGCTTGTAAAATATCCTGTATTTTGCCAAATAAATTACAGCTTATCAATTATTGATTCAGAAACTTCGCAATGATTGTATAATGAATTTCCAATTTATAAATTTAATTTAAGTAAACTGATGGAATACCATAGTTGTCGTACAAATAAAGGGTCCAACATGATGATTATCACTAACCTAAGCAATGACGTTAGAAGTTAGGAAAGCAAACTTAAAAAAAATCAAAAATATGATATAATGCGAAAAAATGCGTCATATGTCTTCCGGGATTAAAGAACACACCTCTATCGACAAAAACTCACACATCTTGAAACACTTCCTAAGTTTCAATCCTCACCTAATTTCAAATTACATTATGACGACGCCTGTTTTACAGTTCTTCGCGCTGACAATTTCTCTTTCACTATTAAAATTAAAGAAGCTCAAATCTGAACTTAATAAGCAGGTTCACCGTGTTAACATCTTTCTTAGTTTGCAAATATATTTTATATTCAATGTTCATTCACTTCACGTATCATCCACTTTTTATATATTAATTACTTGAAAATGATTGAAACTCTACACTTATCTCTATTGTCTGTAAATAACTTATCGAATTTCATGTATAGTATACAACATTTATAGTAACATAGCTCATTTATTTTGTTCGCACTGACGATGGCATAAGATTGCCTAAACATGTTTGCAAGAAAAAAGTTTGTTCTACACATTCAAGTAAAAGAAAAAAATCTCAGCTAAATTTGTAAATCAGTCCAATAAGTTAACACTGCGATGATTACAAGTTCAGAAATGTAAAAAGAAAATGAAAAATGAAATGTTTTTACCTCTTTGGAATTAAACCAACGTGTTGGAATATGTTCTCGAATAAGATTATGTTGATTTATCAGTTCAACCATTCTTGCCTCCTTTTGCAATGTTTTTACTTCTTCAACTGCCCGAAAAAACTCCAACATTGCAATGCTATTCTCTCCAATTGGACGATGTGGAGTTGTCTTATCTTCAGGAAAGAAATATTCAAAAAGCTTCTGCCAGGCATGAACAACATATTTCATTATAACAAACAACTCATCAGAAACATCAGTTTCTTCTGGCTTGAGATGAATTAACCTTGCAACATCCCTATGTGACCATCCTTTAACCTTTTGATATTTGGTGAGATCCATGGCCAGTTTCCATGGATCTTTTTCTTTGTACCATCGTTTTATTGCATTCCTTTGGGCACGACCCCAACCTTTGCCAGGCTTACTCAACACCTTGCAGAACTCAATAAACATAAACAAATGAGTCGAAATTTGACAGATTTTGGTTAAAGCCTTGTATGCTTGTCTTTTTGTGGCAAGATCTCCCTTCCGGGCACAAACAGCGAGAGAAAACACGATGGCCTGCTTTCTTGCAGTTCGTCCTTCAATGCTATACTTCTCTATTTCATTGACAACTTCAACACCCCTTCCTGCTTGCAAAAGATTGGAAAAGACTCGCTTATTTTCTAAGCCTAAAGTTTTTTCGTCAACATAGAAGGTTGGTGTTTCACTTCCCAACACCAAAAAACGACGAAACCTATTCATATCATCAAGTTGATTTTGAGCAACATCTTCGTTCTCTTCCATATCCAATCCATCTTTCAAAAATACTAAATTCGATGTATATGTAAAAAAATAAAAAAAATAAATACTTAACATAACGACTTTCACAAAAAAAACGATAAAATTTTACTAATTTAGTGATTATATCGTCTACCAAGCGGAACCAAAAATATAGTACGTATTGGTAGGTAGTGAGCGCACCCTTAGGTAGGTAGTGAGAGAACAGCTTGGACGCATCTCTTGAATATTGTCACGGAGCCATCATTCAGCCAAATCATCGAAAATAAAACTACTTTTGGTGCTTAATGGATATCCCTAATTCAATGACTAGACATATAATCATATCCTTTCAGACAAACACATCAGCTCTTCTTTTCGTTTTACCACATCATTTTGCTTATGTTTAATTCTTACTCTCCTAAAAGCCTAAGATTTATGATTTAAGAGTGACAAAATGTCTTCACTTTTCTTTCCATTGATTTCTTCAAGTTGTTTAACAAACTTGGTATCTAAGAATGCATGGTTGCAAGGGTAATTTGAAATAAAGAAATGTTATAAGGCTGCCAAAAAGACCAACTTTACCCCAAATGAGAAATAATGAAATAGTGAACGTCTTGACACCATGCATAAAATACATAAAACTAAAAGAAGTTGAGAGTTGTGAGAGGATAATTGAAAACTCAAAACTAAAATAATAATTACCAGAAATAAACATCAAAATAGTACATCCTAAGAAACGAATGTACGATTACGGTGAAAATGACAATTAAGTTTGGACAATATAGTGTCATGGAACCATTACCTTGTGAATGTTTCACCTCCAGTTGGTTCCCCATATCACACAGCATGTTAATTTTCTCTTCGTCTGATTGTAGATAAGGGTGCTTTAATGCCTTATCGGCAGATGGCCTGTTTCCTGGTTGTCGTTGTAGCATCCATGAAAGAAGATCTTTAAGTTGAACATCCTTGATTTCTTCCAAACCAACGGGTTTTCCCTCCAACATGTTTTGTAGTCTATACGCCTCAGGTCCAAAAGGATGTTTTCCCTTTGTTGCAACATAATAAGCCACCATTCCGGCATTCTATTTTCAATAAAAAAATGTCATAAACAGTCAGTGGTGGATACTAAAACCTTAAAGATTGAATTTATTTGTGATTTGCAGAACTCTACAATAAATGTGCAGCTTAAAAAAATCTAAAAAATTTTCTCCAAATAGAATCGTAGCCATTTATATGTATCAAAAGCAATCTAAATAAGGAACATACAATTGTAACTGTGACACGTTTATCAAAAATTAATTTATTTCTATTTAAATTTATAGGTTGACACTATATGACGATGCAATCGAAGTAAAGAAAAAAATTGAGACAAAATCAGTATCACTACCAAATACCAATATTTAATTAAATGCAAACACAACATTGAGCTGTAGTTGGACATCTAGTTCTACTACTTCAAGAACCTACCATAACATCAGACTCTTTTTTGTAACGAACTTTATCAATTGATTCATCTGATGCGTCATATGACTCTGGAGCTATCCAATATTAGCTCCTCTTTGTATGCTCCGATATGTCGAAGTTTCATCAGATAACATATGACTTATACCAAAGTCAGCGATTAAAAAATTTCCTTGTACATCTCGAAGAACGTTCGAGGGTCTTAAATCCCGATGAAGAATAGGACGCTCACCGCTGTGAAGGTGAACTAGACCATTTAAGATCTGAATAAGAACTTTAGGAACGACTTTTTGAAGATCTTGCCAAGAAGACGATTTCACATAACTCTCTAAAGATTCTTCACACAAATCTAATATCATGTACAAATACTCTTCGTCAAGGTTCTCTTTTAAACCCCAAAAATTCACAACATAATTTGAACGCTTTGCATTCAACTCATTAAAAATTTCTTTTTCTCGATTGGCAAAGTCATTGCCGCTATCTTTGGGTATTCGCTTTACTGCTTTTCCATAACCATTATTTCCCAGGGCGAGGTAAACACGGGTTCCATCACTTCCCTTGCCAAGCAAAAACTCCTTCATGAAGATTACACGGAATTCATTGAGCAGTGTAACTTTTTCTGGATGTTTGCGTCCATATTCCTCCATCATTTTAAACTTTTCCTTATGTATTAATGATTTATCAAAACATTTCCATGGTTGACGCAACAATTCTTGAACTTAAAGGAGAAGTACAAATCAGGAACGATTAAAAAAGGACTGATAACTTCATCAATTCACAGTTTTATTTGTTTTGGCAATATCACATAACATATAACATTGCTGTGTTTTCAGGATGAGAAAACACGGATGTTTTTACTTTGATATGGAAATTACATTTACTCCGGTAGAAATGAGTTGGTCATCATACAATTCACGCGCAATAATCAACGTTCCACGATTAGTTCATTGTATGACTATACCAACCTCTAACTCAATAAAGCCAGTGGCGGATCTAGGTTACGTCAAAACAAATTGCTGCAGCTCATGCTTGGATATATTTCCATTTCCAAATACATAGAGGCAAGTCCATTGATAAAGTTTAATTTTTTTGAAATTCAAATTCAATAGTTTTGGTTTGAATATATTTTGAATTTAAAATTTTGAAATTAGCATCTATTATTCATTTTGAAAAAAACGCTAGATCTGCTAAACTAGATTGAGCAATTCTGCAAAAGATAAAACACACATCCTATTCACATTAACATAAAACATGAAATTTAGTATCTGAATATTATGACCAAAAATCCTCTTAAAATAAATTGAATTTACTCAATGATCTCTACAAATGTTACAAAGCAATGATCCCTTCAATAACTGACTTTGTTTTAACTGGGAAAAAAAAGAAATAGTTAAGATGGTTGCTTACGACATGCTGAACTTTACGTTCAGACACTTACATTTTTATGCATGCAATGAAAAGAATTTTTAATTCATTTAAAGTCATTAAAAAATTCTGAAAATTGAAAAAATTTACACAGCATTTTCTAACTCAAGCAATTGAGAGAAGTAAAAAAATTAATCATAATCTTTACGAAACTGAAAATAATTCGTTATACCAACCTTCCAAACATTGTTTTCCCTCTTCTGCATAATGAAAAATAAATATCAAAATAATATTAAATGTTATATTGTTATAGTGACAAGCAAATAGAGCATTTTTTGTTTTATTTATAACACAACAATTTAATTTAATGGTCTCTTTATCATGAACTATGAACAATGTTAATGTATGGACTTCTTTTAAGATTTGGTCGCATCATAATGCCACACCGACTATAAATATAAGAAAATATAAAAATTACAGAACCACAAATTACAATTTTCCATTATAAAAAGTATTTTTGATTGGTTTTTCTCTTCAACAATAACATGTTTGTTTCTGTATTGATTACGAAGAAAATATCCATTGGTCAAGATATTGGTCGTCTCATAAGTAATGATGTAATATGTGGAAACAAATGAAAGTATTTTTATATATAGCTATCATTATACTTTTAAGGTTATTGTAGACAAACATATAGTTTGTACAATCAATTTTGAAAACAACAATTTTATTATCGTCGTGTGCAAGCGCAATAGCAAAAAATTATTTTAGTTGCAACACAGTGAATGTTGAGAACGTTTGATTTATTGAGAATGTTGAGAACGCTTTGGTTAATTGCGAATTATCAATATGAACATAAAAGCCCAACATAACACTTTTAAAAAAGCCATCACAATAGTAAAATAAAGAACTTTATCCCACTGGTACACGTATCTGCATACTATATGGACTCCCTAAAATTCATAAATCCTCCATTCCTCTAAGAGCAATTTTATCTAGTATTGACAACTACTCCTACAAGCTAGCCAAATTATTTATTCCTTTCCTTACACCAATCTCCGCCAGCTCCCATGTTATCAAGGACTCTTTCTCTTTTTTCCAAGATCTTTTACACAGTGACATTAACGCCAATAACATTGTGATGGCGAGCTTTGATGTTAAATCATTGTTCACCAACATCCTAGTTGATGAAACAATCGCTATAATAACTAATCACCTCTTCTCCAATAACACGTCCTTTCAAGGCCTTCATCGTTCACAATTCACTCAACTTCTCTCCCTCTCCGTCAAAAACTGTCATTTCATCTTTAATGGTCAAGTTTATTAACAGATTGATGGTGTGGCTGAGGGCACCCCCTAGGCACTCTATTTGCTAACATATTTATGTCCTTCAATGAGAATTCATGGCTTCACAATGATATTTATCTTACCATGTTTTCAATCAACCTATTAGTGGAGGCACTGAGATGAAAAACTCTATAATACAGCCTCTGTTGAGAGTTCGTAGATTTGAGTAACGAGAGTCTTAAACGTTACCTTTTGGAAAGCATTTGCCTTGATCCATTTGAGTCGCATGCAAAAAAGATCAAAACTAAAAAATCTGTAATCATAAAATTTATGTATTAAGACGGTACGACAATTGTTCAAAAAGCAAAAAATTAAAAGAGTGCAAAATCTCATTGTGAGGCACGATACCATAAACATGATCTAATCAAATCTGATTACAACCATTAACAATTTTGAGATAACATGCACTAAAAAATATTTGACAGTTGCATGACATCTCAAAATGATATGTGGAAATTCCGTTTAGTTTTAGAAGCAGTTTAAATTTATTTTATGCTAAGTTTAATTCACACGACATAAACAAACCAAGTTAAGCCTTGGTTTAGCTCAACCCATGTCGAATGAATTAAACCCAGACCTAACCTGAATCAGTAGTGTTCACACACCAAAAATGACAAACGTGGGTTCATTTGAACCTGGGTTGAATCCAGATTAATTTATGTCGTGTGAATTATGCTCTAGTTTCCATTAACTTATAGTTTGTTATATTTTACTTGTAATGAAAAATGAACTCGTGTATACTTTGTTGAATAATATCCTGATTGGTATTAATGGACATTAAAGAGTAGAAATGTAATGTAGGAAATTCAATAACAACCTCAGCTGCGAAAAAAATACCGTTAGACACACAAATATTTGAGAATTTAAGAATAGTGCGTTTCCCATATGCAATTAACAAACAATATTCTCGTGTGCTCCAGGTAAAGACGCCTTCTTTAAATAAACTTAAAAGAGTGCAAACTTTTTGGCAAATATAGTTTTACAGTATTTCTAATTGATTGTACAAAAAAAGTGGAAAGGTTTGCTAGCAAAACTGACCTTGATTTTGCATCAGTGATGGTAGATAAAAATTTTCGATTAACAAAAAAGCAACGAAAGAAACAGTAACTAATTTAAAACCATGGCCCGTTGTTGCCTCCACCTTTTTAGTGAGCAATATGCAACAGCGTTTCTTAAAAGCTCTTTTCCACTCATCGCAAAATGCTCTCGCTGCGAGGTTGAAAGTCTGTTCGCGAGATCAAAAATTTTTGTTCAATTAATTTAACTATGCTGCAGGTCATAGTAAGCTCGCTACGAGTAACTCGCAGGCACTCGAGCTTGCGAGTACGTTTTGAGATGAGTGGAAAAGAGCCTTTAGGCCACTAAACACACTGTTTCCCAGAGGTGCTGTAAAATAGTTATAAGTATGTTACAAAGTATTCAGAAAGCATTTAGCTACTACACTTAGTTGATTCAATTTTATATTTTGCGTTCATTACAGCGTAGATACATGCTTCATAGCGATTAGTCCGGAATCGTTAGATTAGAGGATCTCAAGATTGAGTTGAATTAGCATTTATAGTGATTTTAAGAACTTATAAAAAAATGCATAACGCCACGACTCATTATTGCGACAAATGTGACGTATAGCCATGATTTTTATTTTGCGCCGTAAAACTTAATTTTACAAGGTAAGTTATTATGCAAGTAAAAATTGCATAATATTGAAAATTGCATTTATTGTATATATCTGTACTATAAATTACCTTTACAAGCTTTCAAGATTCATCGGGTAAGTCTATAGCTACGCCTTTTATGTCGGGCAAAATGGGCTGTCACCCTTCAAAGTCTGTACCCTGCCTTCATCTAGGCCACAAAAGATAAAATTTTCCTCTGGTCGATTACATAGCAAATGTTCATAACTTCTATTTAACTATGTAAACAAGTTATTTCCATGACCCTAATGTAGGAAATTTAAGTATATTCTATAAAGATTGCACATACAAGAATTTTGGACGGCACTGTGTATAGATAGTATTCAAGATCATAACTCTTATAAGTAGTCAGATATTAAAGGTACTTTCCAATATGTTTTAAACATGTCAAAGTGAAGACCGACAAGTGCCGCTATCATATAATACATGATGCAATAGAGCTAATATAATGTTGGTGAAAACTGCGTGCAATTCATGTCTAAGCTATAAAAGATAAATGTACGACCATATATTAATCATATCGCAATCATATTGCATAGAAATACAATTGTGAGAGAACAAGTCATTTTAAAATATTCGGCATTATTTGACTTAATGTTTTAGGTTGCCATTGCATGCAAGTGTCTAATGAACCGGTAACTCTGGCCGAGCGACTGTGGCTACCTTCACTTTTAAAAAGACGATATTCGCCGACAGTCTTGAACATTTGTTGAAGTTGTGATTGACTTAACATTCACCAAGACTATCAATGCTCTCTTAAATATAAAGCTCCCTATTCAAACGGCTATTAACATGCAAACGACAAACTTGAACAGTAAGTTGATTTAAATGCTGGAAAATCCAGGTAATTTTTCATTTAAAGAACTCTCTAACAGTTGTTAGTCACTTGATCAAATAATTAAAAAAGTAACTGTTCTTTTTTGTAATTTTTTTTATAAATTTTCCCGAAACCGGTCTTCCCATGCAAAAAATTTGCTTGCGTGTCCATTTCCGCCTACGTAGTTCAAACAACTTTGTCATGACGAATGAACAATATAAATTTTTAATACACAAGCTAACAAAGTTGCTCAGATTATACGAACTCAAAAATAGCCTTGTTATAAGGCTTTTTTATATGCATAACTTTACTTGTGGGTAAAAATGCAAAAAAAACTGAAGCTTAGTGAATCGTTTGGAATTGTTTTAGTCGGAATAGTAAAATCATTTGATCCTTTCCAATTTTCCGTGATTTGTAGAAATCTATTCCAATACGATTAAAAATATAGTATTGGGATTTGAACACATCGAAAGTACAAATTTATGGTGATAGAAAGTCAAATTCATGGTGATAAAATCAAACGTTTGACGCAATGGAATTTGAACATTGTCATTACATATACTCAAAGAATTCGCAAATTTTTATTGCAAAGCGTACCAGTGTTAAATCATAAAGAGAATACGATACAAATAAAACTTACAATAATTTCAGTGCATGTTCCACTACTTAAAGTTTTTGCTTCGTCTGATGAGAATCAACTATCAAAATAATACGTATGACTTGTTTTGCATCGCGTATAAATATAATCTTTGGACAATGGAGCATTTCTTTAAAACATTCCATATTTTGTCTTGGCGGAAAAGGGAAACGGGGGGGACGGGGGGAAGGTAGAATAAATGAATTTGTGAATGATTTAATTGATATTTTATATCCACATAGAACTTGGAATCTGAAGTTAACGAATACACCGTAGCAATGCAGCAGCTATTATTAAAATAAAACCAAAAATAAATCAACTTCATTTTAACAGATCTCACCTCTAAATTTTCTTCATATGATTCATTATTATTTTCTTGATCTGATTGATTTCTTTCTTCAAAAATTTACCTCTCTTTAACGTTCTCTTCAACGTTTCTTTTAATTCTATCTTCGGCACGCGATGTTCAATCCAGAAATTACGAACGCACGTTCTTTTCTTTCTTCCTCGTTTTTCTCATCATTTTATAAACGCTTTTAATGAAAAAATCACAGACATTTAATGACTGTAGACAATATGAAGTCAAAAATAGAACAGGCTCAGAGTTTTGATTAGAGCAAGCAACATTAAATTTACTTCACCTTGTTGTAAGAAGCAAATTTTCAAAGCTCTTCTAAAACTTGTGGTTGTAAATTCTTTGCTCCAAATAAATACAGGATTTTTGACAAGCCTATTATGAAACGCTGGAGGTGTTTCCACTGTAAATTTCGCATAGGAAATGTGTGCATCGTTTATGTGTAAAAACAATATTCTTTCCAAACATTCTCACAGAAAAACAATGAAGTGAACGACACTTGCCTGTTTCAAAAAATGTCAGAGCTTATCAGCATGCCTAGGAACATAAACTTTACGTCTTTAATTTATTCTTACGTAAATAGTCTTTTTAAAATTTTTGTCAAGCCGCCTCCCGAGACCCACCATTACACTTCTACATATGGTACCACATGGGACAGTTCATGGACATGGATATGAAATAGCTCAGGTTTCACACATAAACAGGTTTTCATATTTTTACAGGGGTAGTGCTAAACATCATAGGTGGTAAAAAAAGGAAGTGACATAAGACAAAGTAAGGGCTAAATTTCAGGGGCGGTTTGATAGTGAAGCAACCAAAGGTAGTGTAGTAAGCTGAAACAGTGCACAGAAAAACTCAATTCAACTGTACTACTGATGTGTTTTGCTCAAAACTGAGGGAGTTAAAATTTTTGTTTAGAGGTGTGAAAAACCTATCTAGGGGGGGGGGAGGTGTAGCAAAACTAGTAATCGCATTCATTTCAAAACAATGTTATTGTGATATGGACAAACGAACTTCTGCCAAATATTCTTGTTTTTGCTGTCCAGTTAGAAAAGGAAACAACAGAGCACATTTTGCAAAAATGACATGACTCAGGTTTGAGATTTCACCACTGGAAATGGGTTTCACTGTTTCACACCAATCCATCTCAGTCAAAATATCAAAATATATAGCTTCATGTGTTATAATCACTGGTCATAAAAAACATCTTCTCGTACAATCAATATTAGTTATCTCAAATCTAGAACAATGTATTTCAAGGGACGAAAAAATGCGTGGCTATAAGGTAAACATGTCATTATTAAGCATACAGTTACATAAAGAAAAGATTTATGTCGGGTACTTTTTGGTTGATGATCATTTTTCAATGACTTATTGTGTATATCTAGTTGCACATTACCGTTACACTTACAGTATGTCGCAAATATATAAATTTTGTTTGGAATTATAACTGGTCAGATAATTCATCTGTAAACTGTAATTATGCTAATACATATTTTTAATTTTGTATATCTTATACACTATAAATAGGTTTGACATATACTGAATTAAATGGAATTAATTACCCGCTTCCTGCTTCCATAATACGGATTGTACAATTGAGCTTGGAACATTTGTACCTAAACATTGTTATCTACAGTGAAAATATCATGTATACTTGTAGCATTCACGATAAAAGGTCTTTGAACGTGGCATCCTTGATTTCCTTCAATCCAACTGGGTTTCCATTCAAAATGTTGTCCAGTCTATGCCGTTCATGTCCAAAAGGATGTTTTCTTTTTGTTGCCACACAATAAGCCACCATTCCTGCATTCTATTTTCAAAAAAAGGCACTGTTATAGTATGCTGTTTGATCATACACCAACCCCTATACGATGTACCTGTCGTTGTAATTTCGGCTTTTAGTCTTTTCACACAAAAATAAACAATGAAAACATTATTTTTATGTTCACACATGCAAGTAAACTGAATGCAGTGTTTATTTGCTTCAGAAAATAACAAGCTAAAAGTTAGCTAAATATGATAGCGGTATTTTGCAATAGAAAAAGACAACATAAATGTCACATGTTATTCACATGATAGGTTGACTGTCTCACAGTCAAGTATGTTGTTAAAAAATAGGTACGCATTGCGTACATGTGGTAAAATAATAAACACAGTACATTTTACATTAAATATGATTGACACCAAATACGTTTGAGATTTAAAAAATTTGTGCTTTGTGCTCATTGATCACTCAAATGACCCAGTAGCTTTCTAACCTATTCTGCATTTACCAAACGCACCTTACTTAGATCGCATGTCACGTGACTATACTCACAGTAAGAAAAGTGAAATCTCCAAGATTTCTTAGAAATTTTGATGATTAATTTAATATAATTTTCACCAAAGACCAATTTCACTATAAATACTCGTCAACAACTGTTTTAAAACACTTTTCTGACGCGAATATCTTCCACACAACCGATAATTCAAAACCATTACGACTTTTTTGTTTCACACATATATATGATAGCCATATTTCCGACGATACAGTGACGATTGTAATTAGTAAGCAATGTTTAATATTTGAAAGCTAGTTAGAAAGCTTTGCACATTTCAAGTGATCGTAAGTACTTAAAATGTATTTCCTGCTGACTTTCAATTACTTTGACTACTGACACGTATCATATTACATAAGTTTCATTGTCAATCTACGTTATATAAATCCTACACAAATAATAGTTGTAACTCTTAAAATAGTCAAAAGCAAAATAAATGTCTTTGTGGCTTTCATTCAACTGATTAACTCGCCAACAGACAAGGGTGATCTGCGAACCAAAGAGTTTACAAGCAAGGCTAATAAGTACAGAACCGGACTATAATTATGAAAAGTTATGATCGCCAACCAAGCCTGCATTTGTATATTATAAATCATTTGCTAAATTTATGAATCGATTTCATGTTTCACTCCGTATGAATGGATCACTAAAGGTCGTACATGTGTATGTTTTATAATATTAGGGCCGCGTTGTTTTCTGATTAGCTAATATGCCTTCAACAATTTTTTGTCGATTGCAAATAACTTTTGTTTCATCGTTTGAACGAGGATAAACGTTTTACATAATGTAAATATTTCGATGTATTTAATACACATTGAAAAGTATTATGCGTTCAGATTCATTGTCACAATGATAACTATACTACTCAGTTCAATCTACAATAAATAATTGCCGTAAATTCTCGATCACAATGCACTAATGAGCAATCGAGATACCAAATATAACCAAAATATAAATACAGTTATTCTCAACGAGTTATTCTCAACAAGTTTTCCAACGTTAATCGACACATATGATAGCAAATTTTTAACGAGAAATTAGCTATAAAACCAAATTTTATACAGTAACAATTTTGGGAAAAGTTGTTGGTTTAAAGTTACAACTTAAATATAATATACACATTGTCAAATAAATGTGTCTAGTAAAAATTCACAATCATAAATTACCATTTATCATTTGCTGAGAATCACGGTCTGAAAAGCTAGGGTCTTTAACTCTAACCTTCTAAAGTATCCGAGTCTTTGACATCGCTTTCTGAAAAGCTCGGGTCTATAACCAGACTATCGAAGAAGTCATTTTTTTCATCCATGGAGTGGCAAAAGAAGTCAAAACCAAAAAATCTGCAATCATCAAAAACTATTTGTAAGTGCAGTACGATAAATATCATTTACGCTGAATTTGAATAAAATGAAAGTTAAAACAGAGCGAAATTTTTACATAAAATGTCACAGTTACCACATGGTTTAAACAGTTCTAAAACAATAAACTGTACAATGTACATTTCAATAAAATTCTTGGATAATTATACTTTAGGTGTTATTTAGACCAAATATATGTGAAGACTCTCTTAAAACTCAAATGAAGTTTCATCTTTACAGCAACATATCCCTTTGATTTAAAACAAATTAAATGCGTTGCACTTAAACAATTAAAAAAATCATAATTGCACAGTGTTAATTGTGATGCATGGTTCTTTAGTCAGATAGATATGAATGACATCACTGAACTGTGTATATATTTGCTATAATTGTGATTAGTTAAAATTCACACAAACTGGGAATACTGTATGAAACATAAACCAGAGTTATACTTATTCTCCCTCGCAAGTGATCATTGACATGCAAACGTCAAACTAGATGCACTGTATTAAATCAAATGTTGGTGAATCCAGATAATTTCTGTTTAATCGTCTAAAAATTCGCAGTCGTCAAACAATCGAAGACGAAGTAAATTTTTCATACAAATGATTAGAACAGCGTCTACTTCTGCCGACGTACATAGTTCATAACATTTTGTAATGAAGAAGAGTTAAGGTATAATACACGTTGTGAAAGTTTCAGAAATGATAAAAGTCAAGATCTCATACGTCTGTAATTTTACTTCTTGGCAGAAAAACGCAGCAAAAAACATTACAATTCAATGGAATTGTTTTAGTTTTAATAGTCTGGATCACTCAAATATTTTGTTCAATGATATGTAGAAAATCTTTCCTTATAACAACATAATCTGACAATTTTGATAAGGAGAAATAAATAACATGAAGAAAGTCTTGACAGTTAAATTTAACGTGTGACGCAATATAATTTTTTCTTGTTATACGTACGTACTGAAAGAATTCACAAATTCCAGTTTATTATAAACGTGTCAGTCTTTTATCATGTGAAGAACACAATACAGCTAAGTCTGGAAAACTTACAGATAACTCCCCAGTCGGTAATGAGTATTCAGAAAACACTGACTTCAATACCGTTCTCTTTCAGATTAGAACCATCAATCGTTATACTTTGTTATGCATGTCGTCATACAAAAATGTTATTTTAAAAATGCAAGAATTTCAAAAGAACACAGCATGAAACACATACTACATGTTCTTTAGGAAGAGAAGGGCACTGATTGGATAATTCTTAAAATTTCTCAATGAAATGTCATATGTGTATGTATTTAAAAAAAGATTTCAGTAACATACACATTAAGCAACAGTGCTCTTCTTGTGTGTCATGTGTGAACCAGAAACTTCATAAGGTCCACATAGCCAAGTAACACTAAAAAACAGCATAAAAGTAAAATCTTTTTTTCATTTAATCTTACTGCCTATAGCACATCAGTGATTATAATCTGGGATGAATAGAAACTTGCTCAGGAATTGAGCCAGACTGAAAGCTTGGTTGTGCAGTGTAAATGTTTTCAAACTTAAAGCTAAAATACATTTCAGGGACATATACATTTAAGAAGTGATCTTCTTGTTTGAGCCAGCAACTCCATATTGTCCACATGGCCAAGTAACACTAAACAGCATAAAAATAAAATCTTAATTTCTATTTAGCTTTACTATCTAGAGCATGTCAGTGATTATAATATATAATAAATAGAAATTGGCCCAGTGGCATAAAAGGATTGACAGTTTGATTATGCAGTAAAAACAACAGATTTCTATAAACAGAAACAATGCTAAACTGACCAAACTGGCAGGCTTTCTACACCAAACATGTTGTAACCTTTAATGGTAATAAGTAAACAAATACAAATCTATCTTGGTGACAGTTTTCAAAAGCACAAAGTAAAACTTGCTTGAAACAAAAGAAACACTTTAACTTTTGTAAAGCTATCCGCAATCCAAAATCCAACCCTACCATGATGTATGATTATACAGGTATACATCCCAAGTGAAGGAGTCACAATTGTACTGTGGTGATAGCTGGGAGAGCACATTGTTAATAACACATTGTATATAACCATACATGTATTCTATATTCATACATCAGTTCATTTGTACACCTTTAAAAAATGCCATCAAATATTACAAGCAACTTAGAAATGATCAACAATCATTCTTTCAAATGGGAATCTTACAGAAGACAAAAAGAGATGTACAAAAATTTACAGAAGAAGAAATTCAATCACAAACAAGGTTGGAAGTAGAAAAAAACATTTTCGCTTCATCATTATTAATAATCATGAAAGTGTTCAACATATGCAGATGATAAGATGGCGAAATTATTTTGATCTACAACTAAGAATGCCTAAGGTATGCCTTTTGTTAGTGATAACGCTTCTTTCCAAATTCAATCAAAACTGGCAAATCAATCTTGTTCAAAAAGGCATGCAGTTGGTTCATAAGAAACATTCATACAATATTAATTAATCAGAACTCAATAAAGACACAAACCCTCATTTTCCTAAAAAGCAACAAAAACGAGATCATGTATATACTGGTGAGACAATAACTAAATCCTGTTGCAATTACAGAAGGAGGAATGTCTTCAAGAGTATTGACCTGAAAGTAAAGCAAATATTAGATTTAAACAAAAGGCATATTTCTTGTTAGACACACAAGTTTCATGTCCTTAATAAGTAAGTAACCAAAATTTCTTGGCAATTTGCACACAAACCACCAACCTTATCTTGAGTTTCAAGGAAATAATCACGAACAGAGCATCCTAACACTTCTTCAATTTTTTTCCCAACAAACATCCTTGAAATACTAGAAAGAGATCCTATGACCAATGGTAATATCTGACATCTAAACTTTTCGTAAAATTTTGATGCCAATTGTTAACGTCACGATTTTCATGTCATTTTCATTTTGTATGTGTTTGGTGCATAGTTTGGTGTTACAATACAAAATATAAATCATTGTTAAATCCACTTATAATAAATCTTATAAAATGTGCGTATATTTATCTTACGAAGTGGCAAAAATATAAAAAATTATTTCATATTTACATCGGGTTTCAGGCATTGAGTTCTATAATAACTGGAGCGGCTATCTCAAGCGCGGCCTTAGATATCTGGTGACGCCAAAAAAATGGCGGATTTCGTCCTTTGCCGCTGAGATTTACCGAAATTGACCGCTTTTCCGAAAATTTCACAATTTCCCACTCCCTCCTGAGGAAAGAGTGAAGAAAATGTATGTGTGTATTTGGGATTCGGCAAGCAATTTTTTGATGAAAATCACGATAAAAACCTACAATTCGTAACAGCGAGTCAACATAGCTTTCCAGTTATCGGCTCCTACGAGGATGTATTTATAACTATCGATGAAAGAGCTATATGTCGGCTACACATCTATGAATGCAGATATGCGTCGTTTTCTTACCAGCGTCAAACTTGTTTGATCGATTAAACTCTTTAGTCTATACAAAAAAGTATATCATAGTTCATCTCCACAGTGGTTCACGAGAGAGTTAGCTTATTTTTATCATTGCTATTTTGCTTCTTTTACTTTTCTTTAAAAGTAAATATTAAATCTCTGGATATTTACGTATTTTCTGTAATTGAGTTTCATATTAAATTTCAAAAGACTCAAGTCTGCATAGGTTTGGTAAATGAAAACAAACAATATTGTATAGAAATTACTTTAAGTAACCTTTTGTGATGTTCTGAAGTGCAACTGCATCAAATACTTGTAAAGTTGTAGCACATTTTGATTTTGTTGTATTGATATATAAATTGGGCAAAATGCAAATAATCATCAAAACACTTATGCTTCCAATGGTGTTTATAATTCATTTTAGTTTTAATACTTCTACCCTTATTTTTCACTTTGTTTTTTTTTCCTATATTTTCAATATAAGTGCACAATTTGAATGATTAAAACAGTTTTCACTTCAATAATAAATTTCATAAGCAGTTGGTAGTGCATTTTGTTCTCTGAGTATCCACATTTGGTGTTTTCTTCATACATGAATGATGAAATGCATATGGATATGTCATAACAAGGCAATAAAACCAAATGAATTAAATACCTATAGTGTACTTTTATGCTAGAAGCTTAACAGCTTTCTAGAAATTATAAAGTTATTGGATTATATTACCTCTATATCATCAATCTCATGAAAAGAAATAAGAAGCAAAATATTTGTAGAAAAGCTTTGAAAAGTGAAAACATTTATTTAAAAAGCAGCAATGATGCATATGATAAATCCCATTCTGTACTCTAATAGGTAAATAAGCTCAAACTGTTTCTTAAAGAAATATAAGAAATATATAAGAAATATACAGTACAGTAAATTTAAAGGTTTCATCACTGAATCTTTAATGCTTCAGTATAGTGCATTAGATATTAGTAACATTTAAACAACACTCAACTAAAATATTTTGATAAAGATATGCCATGATTTAAACATTATGTTATATAAAACCCAATGGCTTATTCAGTTTAATGCTTCACATCTGCATCAAGTCATCATCAATCTCAGTACAAATGTTTACATAGACACAAACTTTATGGCCTTTCCATTTTATATGTTGTGAATTGACATTTAATTAAGCATCAAAACACACAACCTTCTTGCCATCTTTTTGGTTCATGAACTTCAACTTCAAAGCATTCAAGGCATCATTAGTGAATCCATTGTCTCCATCCATAGAATTTGACCATGATCAAATTAAATAACTCTGGATAAGGCAGACAATAAATCAATTATCTTTACAGCATTATCATTTTTAAGACTCTGCCTGATCAATAACATCTTCCAGTCATCTTTACTTCTTGGTCCCATGTTGTCAGCAAATACAACATAACAAGCTCTGCTCCAAATCATGGGTACTGTTGGGCTGATCATTTCTTCTTGATACTTTTCACAGAGCAAAATGTGTGCAGGGTCTTTTTGCTTTAGGGAAACTATTTTGCAAATAGATAGGTAAATTTACGATTTCATGCATTAACAAATGACAGAAAAGTATGCAGAAATTTATAGACAAAAACAGGAAAACATCAGTATATTTGGCGTTCAAGTCAGTCTTAAAAAATACGATCTTTAATATGTATTTTATGGCTTTTCAAGTGCATGTATAATTGCTTTTCAATCGTTGACGGACTAACAAAACAAACAACTACCTCACCTGTGGAAGCGATATGTACCTTTTGTGGAAACTACGACATCCAACAATTGAACGATTGAAGTGTTGGCATTATAAAAGAAATGCCAAAAAGAATCGTCACAGAATATGGAACTAACGATATCCATATTCTGTGATATCGTGTTTGTTTTGAAAATTCTTTATAATTTACTATAGACACCAGGGGAGGTCGAGAATATTATTTTTCTGCAAAGCGATCATTTCAGCGGAAATACGTCCGTTGGCCGCCATTTTTTTGGCGACCTCGCCCCAGTAAAGATAGCCGCTCCAGTTATTATAGAACTCAATGGTTTCAGGGTAGTGGTGTTTCCATTTAAAAATAGTTAACGTTCCTATGTCTAAATCTAAACCAATCTAAACTTAAGTTAACTGCTCCCGAGGCCACATAAACGTACACTTAATGGGAAAAGACTGACAAGAGAATGCTCTGCAAGAGTTAATAAATTGCTGTGTGATCATTAGATATTCATGATCATTAAAAACTTTGGAAACATGATCCAGAAGTGACAATTTTAAAGTTTTAGCCACCATTGTGTTTTGTATTCAGGATTATAAAAGCAGAATCAGAATTTTACTGCATATCGGACAATTTTTACATGTTGCAATACACAGGAAACTCAAAACTTCTTCTCAGTTGCTTATTGAAGGCTTAGGAGTAAAAAATGGCTAAAAACGGCTTTTCCTTGTCGTTTCTGCCTACGTCTAAAAAGGAATATCAAAATTACAATGGAATGGCTTGTTTTGCACTTTGTCATACATGAATATAATTTTATATAAAAATTTCAAAAGATCACTTCAAGAAATAGATTTGTAAGAAAGTTGGTGTACTATTTAGGGTTTATTAGAAGGGAGAAATTTGATCCAGAATAATTTGCGTATTCAAACCTTTGATCTTAAATCTAAAGCAAATGAGCAAAGAAATTAAAATAGTCAGTTGTTGCATCATAAACATGTATGCTAATTTACCAGATATGTGGTCATAAAAGGGAGTAGTTTATGATGTGACATCATGCTTTGTGACGTATTTTAGCTGTTTCCTTACGGGAAGACATGCTCATTAATTGTAAACTTTATCTACGAAGCGGCATCTCACCGGGGGTAAAACCCCTATTTCCACGTGCAAGCAATTTATTGGGGAAAATTTAGCGGCCTACATAAACATATATTTCTCATGTTTTTCCTTATAATCAACCGCTCGATTGTAGTCCACTACAAACAATGGCAGAAAAGAAATGTTTTGATTTTTTTTAATCATGACACCGTGTGATTTTGTTTGAAAAGTCATGCCCTTTTATTTGAAAAGTCTTTCTCACAATTGGTGTGAAGACATCAATGTGCAATGTTTACAACTTTAGAAATAGAAAATAGTTTAGAGAAGATAGTTGTAATATTTCTTCGTTATTTCCTCAATTACATCATCATCAAGTTCATGTTTTGCTTTGTTTCAATTTGTCATTTGACCTGAGAAAAAACACTCCTTTGGCTTGCCAATCTTATAAAATAGTTCTTGTAGTGGTCTTGTCCTTGGTCAATCATATCGGTGAAGAGCAATGTCGATTTTAACTGTTATACTCATTCACCCTTAAGTCTAATTACCAAAATTATAAGCATGCCAAAATCTAGAGAGTTTATTATAAAAAAGATGTTACATAATGCATGAATTAATCATATTAAAATAATCTTTGTATTTCATCTTAAAAACATTCCTCAAACATAATTTGAACTTTTTAATGATTTGTGTTTCCGTTTGAAGGTTTCTGAATTCCATTTTGCTTTTATAGGCATCTGTTCGAGGGTAAATAATTTTACTTTTCCTTTGGTTCATCATCAGTATTCTTGGCAACATTTACATGTTTCTCATTTTCAAGATTGCTGGATATTCAAACCATTCTGAAATCTGTATTAGAGATTTTTCTTTCCGCTAAAATCAATGGTACTATTAACATAATAAATTGTAGACATTTAATTGTAACGGTGGTATTTGACACTATTAGGCATTTTGCTTTACAGGTTTCACTTAACTAACATAAGAACTACTATTTAACATATTAACTAACAACATGTTTGCTCAGTTTAGGATGTATGAAGTATTTGGTCAAAGGATTGAGATATTTAGCTGCGTTGAAGACGTTTAGACTTTGTTCTTCAACATAATAAACCTGTGCTGGCATTCTAATTTCAATCAAAATTTTAGAAATTGTTAGTTCGCAAAAATGATTTTCCACACTAAAAAATTTTCAATTCTTGTGAATTAAAAGTTGTCATAAATTTTTTAAAGCAATCTTGAATTGAGAAATCAAAGATGAAAGCATCTGTCAATTGAAAAGAGTTCATTATTAAACAATAATATTTTTAAGGTTACCAACAATTTGTATTTGCCATTATTGGCTTTACAATGGCTATAAAAGAATATTTTTTAAAATTTTTCAACAAATTCTATTTCAGTATTAAATGTAACATACATAAAGACATTGATCATGATGGATCTACTTTACTTCATAGCTTTTCCTTAATGATCAAATTTCTATTTTTATGAAATTTTTAATTGTTTGATACACATGCATTATATGATTTTGGAGCTATAATTTTAGATACCTTTTATTTAATTTATTAGTTTATAAATTATTGTTTGTATAAGCGTTGAAAAACATGGAAATGTTTTGGCAAATGTTTTTTAACAAAATTCTTTTGCTAACCTGGTTTTGATGTGGAAGGCGAAACACCAATCATGTCTTCACTGTTATTATCATCTAATAGATAAATCAAATTAATTTTTTGCAATGCAATTAAATAACATTACAGTATGATGACAAATTCTAAAACTCTCTTATCTGACCCTTTACAAACGTATGAATGATACGCATGATATAAACGACTCTTATGTTTGTGTTTGACTTTTAAAGGGAATGTAAAGATGTTTGTGCAAATGTTTGCTAACAAAATACAATTTCTTACCAAGTACTGCTGTAGAAGGAGTTTTGTCAATGTTGTCATAGTCGTTGTCACTCATGGGAGATGGCAAAGATATCTTTTCGTAAGAAGCTAAAAATTAATGCATTATATTACACGGTTAATACATCATAGCAAGATAAAAGGAATACTTGCTGAGTTATTTCACTCTTCATTACATCTCACATTTTTGACCATTAACAAAAGTATGTGAATAAGGAAGATATAAACAAATCTCAATGGTTACATTGCATTTTTGTTTGTACTTAACATTTCAAAAGACAAAGATTACGTTTGTGTAAATATTTGCATATAAAATTCCATTACTTACTAGATCCTGATGTAGACGCAATACTCATCATGTTTGAGCACCACACATGTAGTTTTACAGCTTTATATAAAATGAATTGTTTGGATTCTTTCAAATAATTTATATCAAATAAGAAATAATTGTATTTTTCGTGTTTGTGTATAAAACGACATCATACTATACACAACGCCTGGCTATTCATGTTTGACAGTGGCTTACATGTGACTTTACGATTTTTATGTGCTACATAAACAAATTTTACATCTACGGGCCATAAACATTGAGTTCTATAAGACCTGGAGGGGAAAAGCGGCCTGGACCCTGTGGTCAAAAACATGGCGGTAATGGCGGATTTTGGTTGTCAAGACTTCCACTTTGAGAAAAATTTTTAACATTCGCTCCCTCCGGAACCCGGATTTTTTTTACTGCTTATATTAATGACAACCATCGAAAACCACCACGATACAGTAAGCATAAATATTGAAAATAATGCTTCAGGTTTTTGTGAAATAGACCCAACAATTTAAATGAGGAAAATCTATCGTAAAATAACGTATATTTTGTCAAGTATTGCTTTAGCTATATTACAAATAAATATCAAACGGCATTCTTTAAACTGTCAATGTGTTGTTAAGCTTTAATGCATAATCCCATGCACAATACTTGTGTTTTGGACTGTTTGTGAACAGCTTGGTGCAACTGTCATTCTTGAACAGATGGGTAAATCTTAGTTAAAATGTCCAAAAAGGAGTTGGAAAAAGTTAGCTTACCCCTACGACTTAAGTCGACAGGAAATATATAATAAGCAGGTATGTGATTTTTTTGAGTTTTTTTTGGTAGGATTATTCTGGGTGTCTTATAAAGTATTATGATGTTCTGATATACAGTGTGCAAATTAGTTCAGAATAAACGATGTGCAATTTTTTTGACAAAAGTGTTTCTTTAGAGGCATAATCAAATCGATATTACGTTAATTATTATATAGCTCTAATGGCTAAATTAATATTTTTAAATGTGAGCAAATTAATATGATTTACGACAGTGTTTTCCGTTAAAACCGCTGATTTTTGCACATCGTTTGAAAAAGTGATGTGCAATTGTTTTCATTTTAGCTAAAACGATGTGCAAATTGCACATTGCACACCGTTAATTCGCACACTGCTGATAAATCTAATGAGAACTTATGAAGAAATTATCTTGAACTAAGAGAGCAAAAGAACGAAATTCAGAAATTCTATAATCATGTTGCTGGTTCTGTTTTGAGCCAAGATATTAGAAACTGGATTGTCATTGAAAACCATGGATCTACTACTGAACAGAACTACATTACTTTCCCATTGAAAATACGATTTCTTAAATTAAAGTGCATTGGTTTCTCTGACATTACACTTTTCTTATTGATAAAAGTTTTTGTGCTTGACATTGATATTTTATATAATCGGAAATGTGGTTGTCAAATCCGGATAGGCGAAAAAAATTTTATTTTATGAGCCCGCGTCTTTCCGCTGACTTTGACAACCAAAATCCGCCATGTTTTTGACCACGCGGCCGTGCACTAATAATTTATAGTAATTTTGTTGACGCTTCCCCTGGTCTTATAGAACTCAATGGCCATATATCATTCGCGATATTAAATTTAAGTGCGATTTCTAGCGTATCAGTAAAAAAGTTTTTGATTTGATCAAATTATTCCATTTTTATGGCGGTTTAAAGTTGTGAAAATGCCCTTTTTGATGGACGATGTTCGTCTTCAATTATGGGAATGCAATACATTTCCAATGACCAATTCAAAGCCATATGAATAAAATTGTTCATGTATCGTCTGTTTTGTCATATCAAATTAAAAAACGAATAAACACTTGGCGGAGGAAATAAGAAAGACTTATTCTAAACCATGAGCATTTCATACTTTTACTATGTCTCTAAAGTTAAACTACAGTATATTGTACATCCTATAATTCTTCTTAAGTCGATATTTATTGATAAAACTTACTTTTTAAATTTGTCTTTGCTGTAACACGTCTTCCTGCCAAATGATGTAACTTAGCGAGTGTCGGGAATTATGAACAAACGTTTGCAGGTAAATCCATGACGACGTTCGTCTACCAATGAAATTCCCTGAAATAGAAACGTTTAATAAATTGCCATGTTTATTTAGAAATTTCAATCATTAGTATTTAAACTGAACACTGACACGCAGTTTTCTCTCTTTATAGGCCCGTTTACAGGAGCAATTTTAATATGAAAATTTTTATGCGACAAATACATTTGACCGTGTAAACGACACAAAATATATGTAAATATATCTGTTCGCAAAGAGATTGATGTATTGCGCCCATTGTAATAATGAACAGTTACATGTGCATACTTCATTTTACGACGTACTTTTAATGCAATGTTTGTGCAAAAATGGCGTTGACCAAGGCCGAAAAACTTCAAGCAGTAGCTATTATTACATCTCTAATGGTGCACGAAGTGAAAAAAAAACGAAAGTCACGACGATGGTAGGTAAAACCATGGAAAACTGTGCAGCGCCGATTCGCACAAGGGTTAGCACAAAATTTAATTCAAGAGATACGAGTGACTGACCATGATGTATTTAGAAATTTGTTTCGGTAAGTTAGGAAATGTGATAGTCTTTTTATTCATGCACTCTTCAAAATTAAGCTAGTCAGTAGATTGTACAATCAATTCAAATTTTACGTTCTTTTTTTAATAATGAAATTTTCTTATTTTCTTTACTTTTATTTACAAATTATAATCTTTACTACTTTTAAGGATGGATTCCATTTTGTTTGATGAGCTATGTGAAAAGTTAACACCATTCATAGCAAAGAAAAACACCACTATGAGAGATGCTATATCTGTTCATGATCGCTTGTGTGTAACATTAAAGTTCTTAGCATCAGGATGCTCATACAAAGATTTGATGTACAGTTTCAGAACATCAGTTTCATCTATTTCAAAAATTGTACCTGAGGTCTGTGAAGCTTTGTATAATGTGCTGAAGGAAGAATATTTAAAGCCACCCACAACAAAACAACAATGGTTACACATTGCTGATGAATTTATATGCAAATGGCACTTTCCCCATGCAGTTGGCAACATTGATGGTAAACATATCAACTTGTGTGCACCTCCAAACTCAGCGTCTGAGTACTTTAACTATAAAAAACATTTTAGCATAGTCCTCTTGCAGATGCAAATGCTAAATTCATCTCATTTGATCTTGGAGCCCATGGCAACTAGTCAGATGGAGGAATTTTTAAAGACAGTCACCTTAAAAACATATGCAAGACATGCTATTTCCCACAAGCTGAAGAACTAAGAGATACATTATTGCCTATACCTTACTTTCTGCTTGGAGATGAGGCATTTGCTTTCAATGAAAATCTAATGCAACCATATCCACACCAGACTGCAATAGGTGATGAGAAAGTTTTTAACTATAGACTTTCACGAGCACGAAGAATTGTCGAAAATGCATTTGGATTGATGTGTAGTTGATTCAGATGTCTTTTGAGAACATTGGAGTTGGATGTTTCACATGCAATGCAGGTGGTGAGGGCCTGTATGGCACTGCATATCCAAATCTAAATTGAGAGTCATCTGATTATTTACAGCAAGCTCCTGAAAATCTTCCTCCCTACCAATGACGATGTACATAATATCGACTTCTTCATTAGACACCACTCTCGTTTGATCCGGAACACGGACAATCGGTTGTCCATTGTAAAAGTATTCCATGCTTTCTTCGTTAACTGTGGCATTTAAAGATTCTTGGATTTCCATAAATTGGACTCCGCCACAAAAGTCTTGTTGACAGTCATCCAAATTATTAACAACACCCGCATGAGCACAGGTCAAGGCATAGTACATATCATTCTTAAGGCAGAACATTGTCAATGTTCCAAAACTACTCTCGGTTCTTTGCGCTATAATTTTAGACAGCATTCGAAACTTTGCTTCTTTAAATGGTTTAGATCGTAATTCGATGTATTTCGATGCTTTCCATTTTAACTTTTCATAGATCTCATTTTTGATAGCAGCCTCCGAATTTTCTTTCTTAAAATCAACTGTGACATACAAATGAGGAAACGGCATCTTCTCGTTTGGGCGAGCTATTCCATACTTCCCACTAAGCCACGAGCAACTTAAACAAGAAACGACAACTACATATTGTCTAAAAACTATTTTTCTTAATGTTCCGATATGCACAGGTCAACATACATAATCGATATCCCATGAAAGAAAAATTACCTTTGTAGAGCCTCGTGAACGTCAGCTTTAATATTCTTACTTTTGTCTAGAAGTTTATGGAAGTTGACGTCATGATTGGCTTCTAAATATCATAAAAATATAATTGATAACTTTGGTGCACCAACATTATCTACAATGAAACTTCCATAGAATAAGACATAAATAAGACTAAAAATTGACTAATCATATACATGGGATCATAAATTACTTTGCTCTGGATTCTGTGTCGAATACCTGTTTTGCAATATCATCTATTTAAAAAAATCACAGCAGGAAGTACACTGATAAAAAGATTTTTTTGAGTGTTATCGCAGTGCGCTGCGTAGTGTGAATAAATATATGTAAAATTTACATGTATTATATTCGGAATAGAAAAAACTAGAATCCTGATGCAAATAAGCTTAATATATCTTATATGAGATGTTTTCAAACTTTGTTTAGAACGCAGGAACACAAAACAGAAAAGAAAATTTTCTCATACATTTTAACAGTAAGAATCATTTGTTCGTTATAAGTTATAACATACTTTCAACATATTGAAGACGCTGTATTTTTTAGTTACTTTAACTGCACGTAGCTAGAGTGCTCAGTTCCTAATTTTTAGAACGAATAAATGCTTTCAAATTTTATGCTATTTCAATAATTTCACTGTTGTTAGCAGAGAAAGGAAGGTTTGTTATGTACTGCAGCAATTCTGACTAACTTTGTAAACTTTTCTATCAATTTTACTATTTGTTATTTAGTTTATAAAAGATTTATTATCAAATGGTACATTAGGTCAACCAGAAACTCCAACTCTT